AACTCATATGGATGAAAATCTGTGACTGGAAAATCAATTCCAATAAAACGTATTTCTGCTTGTACCTTTGATAGCTTATCTAGCAAGCTCTTTTCCTCTGCAATATCAAAGTCCTGGAAGTAAGCCTCGAGTGGCTTTGCACCAACATCAAATGTCATGGTGCCTCCTTCAGGTGTCTTAGCACTAAGATCCTGGATCTTGTTCAAGCTGGCTTCTACTCCGTGGGTGCGACTCCATTGATGAATGAGCTGGCTGACTTGCGTGATGGGTTTCTTACCTTCCCTCTCTCTATAGTGACTGTAGGCCGCATAGAGCGCCTCAAGAAAAAAGGAATCAAGGATGAAAAAAACAAGAAATGTATCCGCCTAAAAACCTTGATTTACTGCTATCCAACAGTTGTATTTCATTTCCTCATAATCCTTTCCTTTTTTTTTTAAATGACAGTATTTTATGAAACCGAACATTTGAGAATTTCAATGTCTAAGAAATTAATTTTTTAATATTTTCCTCAAAATAAAGGAAACCCAAATTCAACCATAATTTATAGGAAAACTGCATATTTCTTAATTTTAAAGCAAACTATTTCAAAACTAGTAAGCATACACACACATTCAAAAGCAAAGTTGGTCTAAGCTCATTTAACTGTGTATCATCCACTGTACAGTGTATGCTAACTTGTCACAGTGTTAATTTCACCTGCTGGTCAACAATGCATTGTTACTCACTCAACCGTGACACTGAGCACATGATCAAGGTGTCATAAGAAAGGAGCTATTCAGACATTTAGGGAGACATATAATGCTTCATTAATGAATCTGCAGTTTTCCTATAAATTATGGTTGAATTTGGGTTTCCTCAAGATGTAACTCTTTAAGACACGGACAGTGACTGTACATTTCATGATTAACTTTGTGATTGTTTTGAGAGAAGTAAAGGTCAGCATACCTGGCAGTCCGAGTGTCCACAGACAACAACATGTTCCACCTTAGAACGATTGCACGTAATCTCCAACGCCACAACCTCAGAGCTCGACTGTGTGTATTCTCCCTGTGTATAGTTGGCCTGCGGGATCACGTTACCAGCATTGCGCAAAAGAAACATGTCACCGGGGCTGGTTTGGCAGAAGTGAGTGGGTAGGACGCGAGAATCAATACACGAGATGAAGAGAATCGGAGGCTGGAAATGTCAACAAGACAACTAGAATGAAACTTAAGCTGAGGAAGCTTAGAAACAAACGCAACATTTGAAGCAATTACACATATCACCATGACATTTACTGGATAAACACAACTGTATAAACTTTTCTACTCACCTTCACATGTTGTTTCTGAGCTAACGTTGCCCATTGCACCAAGAAGTTACCCTGTGTGTTTGCTTTGTACTTGATAATACCTCGTAAAATTTTCTCCATACCCAGAACGCTCCTGAGGCAATGCTCCTCAGTTTTTGCTGGTGAAAAGCTTGATGGTGAAATAACTTACTGACTCCCTCCTGATAACAAGACCAATTCACTGGATTTCTGACAGTCTGAAACATGACCAAAAAATTTACATTTCAATGAAATTTCAATCATAACTTGAATGACTGTCTAGTCTTAGACATGTTGTTTCACATCTGGTGGCAAGGTACAGCAAAACAACACTGAATGTTGATTGTTGCTGACAGTAAAATACAGCACCAATACGGCCATTTCACAATAGTGCGCTACCAAGAGTTTGCAACGCATTGGCCAATCACAGTGTGCAAAATTTGTCGACCCACTGCGCGTTTGGAAAGGGTCGACAAATTTCGCGTGTTATGATTGACAAACATGTTGTAAACTCGTGGTGGCGCGCTATTGTGAATCACCCATACTGCATTTCACCGTCAAAACTAATGAATTAGGTTTCTCTGATAATAACGCATGTAAAGTCTCGATCATCTCCTAACCACGCTAGTATACGATATACCGTAGGCCCTACAATCCACCCCCCATATGGCCATCATCAGGTCTTGACCATGCTGAGGTTATGCCTAGGCCTGCTTTGCCTAACATAGGCCATGACATAGGGCCGCCTGTACATGTTGTAGCCTATTCAATTTGTTGATGATTCGACAATATCGATCTATTCACAATTCACGAAAAACATCAGAAAACAACAAAAACATATTGTGTGACTCACCTGTCGTTTTCCAAAGTTAGAGGGAAGAGATTTCTCTCACTACGAAGGGTAAATGTACAAACAATGTCTAGCCAGCTTCTGAGATCGTCGCGATTTGTGCACATGTGTCGGCAGCAATGTTTCCCATGTGTTAACAAAAACCCGAAGCACACTACCGAATTGCGAATCCAACCAATTACGAATAAAAACCTTTTAAGGGTGCACCCTCGTATGAAGGCAAGAAATTTATACACTCAAAATATTCTATATTAGAGGGTCCTGAGAGCCATGGAACTGGGGGATTGAAGAAATATGGCACTGAATCTCTGGGCTGGACTCAGGGCTTCCAATTCTGCGTAATTTGGATACAATCGGGTCCGAAAGCACTATTTGAGCCATTTTGCAGAGGGATGCATTTTCAAGTTCAAAATGGCTACTTTCTCAAGCAGTGGAATTTCCTTTGTCTTAGGGGTGGTCTCCTTTGGGTGAGAATTTCTCAAAAATTCATTGGTCAACCCACTAAAATTGAAAGGAAAATGAAAGAGGACGTGTGGAACATCATTTTTCTGTGTAGCCTGAACACCTGTTAGAGTTGTGATTATTTTTAAAATACAGGTGTATTTGTCTATGGGAATTTACTAGAAGTGCACCCTATAACATCACCAAAATTCCCCCATGATAGCGACGAAAGAAAATAATGAAACGAGATGATCAAAGAAAGGCTAATTAAGAGTGATAAATTGCAGTCTTGGGACAATTTTTTTTTTATTTGAAATATTTTTATACAAATCTTTAAGAATGCAGTTAATTTTTTCTTTGTGCAATTTTTTATTGGTCAAATACGCACATATATATAACAAGAAAAAAGGAATACTTAAAGAAATTTGTGAAACATTTTCATGAGTATATGATGGGTTCTTTGTTGATGAATGAATTAAATCAGAAGTTTTAGTTAAGTATTTCAAAAGGATGTGCGCAGCTTGTTGATCTAACGCGAGACGGGGAGTTCCTTGAATACTCCAAAACTGTATTCTGGCACAAATTCGGCACTTTGCGAATGGGTGCAAACTGTGATTGGGCCAAATTGGGATAATCACGCAAGAACACAGCGCCACCACGCGTTCAGAGAATCTCACATTAAGTGTGTTTATGCGATGTATTTCAATACAACACACAAACCTCCTATTTCTGTCATTTACACGTGTTTTAATCGTTCTACTTTCTCACTTATATATTAATTCCATTGCACAATATATTTTATTCAAGTCTGATTGACAAAGAATGAAACTGATAAATTATTGTTCATACACGCATAATTTCTTTTTTGTGTCATGAAGAGTATAAACAGTGCATACAAAAATAGTGCAACATGGTGACCAATATCATTTGGGTATTTTTTAGTCTCCTGTACATCAGTATTTGATACGTTTTGATACTAGTCATGAAAATAAACTTTCAAAATAAATACATGAACTTGTCTGTCCAAATAAGTTAATTTCTTCATACACGAATGTCGCACAGCATTATTTTACTTATTGCACGTTAAGTGTTATATAAAAGCACACACATAATTCTTAACTAAACATCCTGAATCAATTCTCCTATAATTTAAATGTTACGAAATTTAAATTACTTTGATCTCTTAGCGATAAATTTGTTCTTTTGTGGCAAGATGTTGGTATTGTTCCAACTCGCTAATAAAATCACTTCCGTTATGATTATGGCAAGCTTATGAATCGAAATCAAATTTAAATCCTCAGATGAAACCATTATTGATAACTCATTTCACAGGTCTATGTACTCACAGATGTGTCCCACACTCTCACATTTGTTCCCTCCAATAACCCACAGACTCACAATCACTCACTCTTTAACTAACCCCCTCTTCTATATGGCTGTCATCAGAGCTTGTCTTTCTAGTAGATTCAAATTAACTTATTTCAGACCTGACTAGGGCCCGCAAGCTTCTCAAAAACTACAGAAACATCAGCCATTTTCCAGATAATCCAAAAAAGAATTTGTATGTAGCCATTATCTATGTAAATTGTGAGAATAATTGAATTTAAAAATGAAGAATGGTATTATGTAAATTTAAAAAGACAAAAACTGTTAGTTTAAAATTATCATGATAGAGAAACCGTAGTCGTGTTAAGCAATAATAATAAGGAACTTCTAACTGGGGTGAAGCTTGTGATTAAGTTCGTTTATATTAGATGGCAAATGAAAGCAATTTTAGAATCAAAACTAAGCTGAAAAAATGTAAGCTAAGATCGAAGCTACCAAAACAACAATCGAATAGAAAAATTGCTGATTTGTTGTAAAACTGTTCCGACTTAAATCGATTACATAACTATGCTGCTATTAGAAACAGCCAAGCGGGATATAAATGATGCTTCGGCATCAATGGGCATCAATGCTATTATGCTGATTACGTGGTCAGTGACTTTTGAACTTGAAGTTACGCATTTGCTGTGACATTGGTTGTGATGTCAGAGTCTGTAATGACGATATGCACACGTCGCTTGGGCGAGCTACTGCACCTTGACGCAGGTGATGGGGAACGGCTGGACGGACGGCTACTGGCAAGGAAATTAGACAAACGGCTAGAAAGACGACTAGTCGGACGGCTGGAAGGATCGACGGCACTCCAGGAGGCGCTACCGGGCCGGCTAGAGGGGCGACTACTCGGATTGGCCAAGCTGATGCCACTACCTGGCCTGCTACTTGACATGTTGCTCAAGTAATCCCTGGTGCGCGAATATAAAGTCGTTGTCATTTCGGTCGCCAAAACACCCTCATCGTTGGAGAGGGACGAATTGTCGTCTGGTTCTACCTCAGCGTCGGAGGCACCGTCAGGGACAGTCAAGAGACTAGACACTGAGCCAACACGCTGTCTTCCATTTAATAAGCTGTCCGTCGGCTGAATATCGGATGTAGTTTGATTGATGGTGGATGTTACAATCGTTGATGGTGGATCAGGAGGAATGGCCGGAGTTTGCACTTCCCTTTAAATGAGGCACAAAAGAAAGCAATGCAGATCCCCTGTACAAAATAGGCTACCTACTCGAAATTACGGTCAGGGGCAATCTGTCGAAGGCTACCTACTTATTACCCATCCCTTTGAACACTTGAATCCTTCAGAACTCAGCCATAGGTTCACACATGGAATACGCTTGAATGACATCATGAAAATAAGTTACTTTTGGAAGGTGTTTAAATTACACAGGATATACTTTGAAGACATGATGAGACCTATCTCCATTTCAGACTTACGGTTCTATGGCACTCTTCCAATCAGGCAGTGGTTTTGTGAAGCCACTCCTTCCTACTAACCAATATGTCCGCGCCATGCCTTTCCCCTTGGAGAATCAAAGAGGAACAGAAAAGCATAAGATGTTTTTATCAACTGACAAACACTATCAACATGAAAACACCCTCACAGCAAGGCCATCAGCGCCTGAAGGTCCTAGTAGGGCACGATTACACAACTCACAGTCGCTACATGATGACCATTCAACCCTATAAAATGAGACGCCATTTTGTTGAGGCGATCTGTTTAGCGTTAGTCAAAATTACGTCGCGCGAACCTTTGACGTAATGGCTTTCAAAACAAAGCACTACGTATACGATGCTCGATAGACTCCCTTTGACCCTTCTGTCGTTATTACAGGCGTCCTTAACACAGTTTGAAATCTTGTATATCGGGAAAAGTTTTGATATGTCAGTTTAATACCTTTAAGTACACGTCTCCCCTGAGTTCGACTTGGTATCCACCAAGGTCTTCAAGAATCGTCAGGGTGGATTGGCTAACGTGGATGCGAAACGCTGTGGACAATGAAAATAATGATTCAATCAGGACAAAGTTAAAGGGAAAAACTTGAAATTCGAATACTGGTTTTATTTTGGCAAATACAAAACTTACCCATGCCATTAGACTCCATTCGAGATGCTGTGTTGATTGTGTCACCGAATAGACAATATCTTGGCATTGCAAGACCAACCACACCCGCTGCACAGTGCCCTAAATGCAAAAGGAGAAGCATGCTGACGGTTATGGTAAAAAAATACCGCGTAATATCGGTTCGCTTATAATATATGTAGAGCACAATTGTAATTCGGCTTCTCTCAGCAAGACTGAGTTATCCATTGCTGTTGTCTTGAATGATATTATTTTGTATTAAATACCTGAATGGATGCCGATTCGCAATCGGAGCGGCACATGAGGCATGTGTCTGATAGTGAACTGGAAGCCTGCAACATGCAGAAGGTCCAGGGCTAGATTGGCAATCTCGCCGGCATGTTTGTCCCCATTTGTAATTGGTAAGCCGCTGGCAACCATGTACGCATCACCGATGGTCTCAACCTGTTATGTATTGAAAATTAAAACTCATCACGGTCAGAAATTGCAATTGATTATTTGTAGATACAACGTGCTGACTTGGATGACGGCCCAATTGTTTACAAAATGTGGTGTAAAGAACACGTGCATGCGTGCTTAGCTGGATTAGGAGACTTAAACCGTAATGCATAATGCTGAGAGCATGCATGGGGTAAATTTCGGTGGCCACACTTTTCGTCCAGCCACACCAACCTTGTACACGTCGTGGTAGGTCAGTGTGTCATCGAAGGCCGTGTACAAATCATTCAGGAAGTCGACCACTTGAAAAGGGGTGCTCTGAGCTGAGATTGTTGTGAAGCCAACGATGTCAGAGAAGAAGATGGTGACACTGGAGAAACTGACTGGAGGTACAGTGCGGCCTGCCTTCAATTCCGAAGCAACACTCCTGTAGGAGTTGAGGAAGTAAGTAGGATTAAAAGGTTATCGCGCCCATCTGGAAAATCTTAGATGAGATGCTATCAAAATCAGCTATGGCCGGACTGTGTACAGTTTTAATCCAAAACTAAAACAATATATTTCATCCTGCTTACTCAACGCTTACTCAACTTCTTGCAGAATTTAGCAACTACAGGTATAGTAAAAAGTTTAGGCGTTTAAATTGCAGTAATATAGAGCCTATGGTATAATTTGGAGGACTGCTATGATGTTCCTTACGGTGGAAGCATCCGGTTGAGAAGCATATCTGTTTTAGCCTTCTCCTCATCCAGCTCTGCCGTTCTCTCCCGGATCAGGTCCTCCAGATGATTGGAGTATTTTCAAGCATCTTAAACATGGAGTCCACAATGTTGGCCCGTCTGTAATGGAAGACGGTTACACGGCATTTGCTGCATTTCCTTGGAAAACATTGCAGCTCTCTTAAAATGCGTAAGGCTTTTTTGACATGGAAGATTTTATTGAGGTAGTGGTGATAGTTGAACCTTATAATCAGGTGATAATTAGGGGCATAATATTGATACGCAAAATAGTATTTAAACCTATAGCTGTCCTCATAGTGAAGTGACATTTCGGTACATTATTCCCTTTCACCTTCCTCTGTTGAGTTTCTTGAATTCTTGGTAAATGAAGCCAAAGTCTAGCCTCATATCAGGCATCTCAGACCAACACTGCTTCATGATTTCAATCACTTCTCTTGGTGCTTCATTCTGAGACACAGAGGGTCGACAAAGAGGTGGAGGCTTCCGGACTTTGGCAACTATTTCTGAGAGCAAAGAAGACGATGCGTTAGGTTTGTTTTTATTACAGATTACGTTCAAATAACTGCAAGCTTTTTACAATAGCGTGAAATGATCGCTTCCATAAAAGAAACCTCTTGCTCATTGTAACAATGTTTCAAATTCAGGCTAAGGAAGAAATAATGACCTGGTTCAGTGTTGTTTTGTATTGCTGTAAGTATTAAAGATGGTAAGCCTAATTTGTTTATAGTAATTAATATAGGCATCAAGCCGTTTTCATCTACCGACTAAGAAAAGATGTTCACTGTTGTATTTGAGATATACCACGGTGGGAACATTCCATGATGGGCACATTGAGTGGTGCCTGGATTAATAGATCACATGTTCCGTTGCCATGGGTACGGTACCTTTCTTTTGTCAATTGGCCCTGGACTAAAAAGGTCGGTCACCACAGACCGAAGGTTCGTCTTGTAGTCATGTAGCTAACGATAATTACTGGCGATTGTATGGTGTTTACGAATTGTGTGTTTTAGTTTAGTATAAGTAGAAATACGTGGAACACATTGAAATTACAGCAAAGTGCTACGTTTGACAGGAAAGACAAACATGACTACAAACGTGACAATTATCACGTTTGAATTTCCGCGCGCTGCACTGTCGCCCTGCCGCCATTTACCGCCTCATTGGAGTTGGTGGTATATACGTATTTTGTGAACACGTCAAAAGCGACTGATCCTTCGATTTTAACGACAATATCCACACATCGTTGGGTTTGCTTAGGCAAAGTGAAATTATGTGTGACTTCGAGCGCTGGCCCAAGGGACGGAGTAACGCTCGTACGTGTGTGGTACAACTTGGGTAGAGCCGATGATTGAGATCTTTACAACCTTCGTGTTTGCAGATCAAAGGTACATACAGGTAGACATGTCCAGTGGAACCCAATTTACCGGTTTGTTGGCTGATGAGGTTTCCTAATCGCTGACGAAAACATTAGAGACTCATTAGCAAACCGCCAATGACGTAAATAAGAAAAAATAACATAACCTATATCTTTTACAGTTGTTTTCAGAATTCTATCATTTCCTGTCTTACAACAGCCTGCTTTCATGTTATGAACCACTTTTTGAGAATTTTTAAGAGAAATTTAACCCAAACAAATTTCTCAATATTTCAACGCGGAGTGTCTTTCACGTATCGGCTCCCTTATGTACAGCAGCACGTGTACATCCAGACCTCCATCTCTAACACAGAATCAGGTGAAAGAAATATTTGTCCTTTTTCAGAAGGAGGTTAATTCAATTTTCCTTCCAGCCAGACGTAAAATGGGGATGTTTGCTGCATTAATTGCGACAACATGGGCGAGATAGGAACTCAGCTACTGCATTATTACTCTCATTAACTGCGACTCCAAGGTTGCGGAAGAAAAATATGGAAATTGTGGCCAGCTACTCCGCAGGTTGCACATGTTCCTCTAACAAATTTTTAAAAACAAATTTTACTTCAGGATCATAAACACGAGTGATATTAAAATGAATGCAACAGAGCAGTGATGCAGCCTAGCAGGAAGGAGAGTCTTCGGTTTATTTGATGACATTTTGCCATCGATTTCCTGTCAAACTAGTTGCTATCCAAATACTGATTGTTATAAAAAGGCTGCGTGTGTCTGTAGCGTGTGTGGGTTTACGGCAGAAACACCGTGGAATAAGTGGAAAAGGGATGAACACGCGGAATATCGAAAGCAACACCATTAAATCTCAGATCTCCCCCTCAGTCACCCATTATGGTCAAACAAAACAAAGATGCGATAAAAATTGTCTCGGAACCGTTTCAAAGCACACTGCCACAACATTTGGGCGTCTCGCCCAACTCAAACTCACGGTAGATATTTGGTCTTTGATAAGTGCTCTGATGTTTACCTTTTGGAGTAATGTTTAGCATGGAGAACGGCTCAGCTCTCGTCAGGACTTCCGACAGGATAATGGCAAAGCTGTAGAAATCACCCTTTGGCGTTCCTGTCCTCTTTAAGACGGGATCGCGAAGAAGCTCAGGTGCAGTCCACAATAAATCTGCACATTAATATACACAATATTTTCGTCCAATTCATTGATTGGCAATTTAACCCTGATAACATGATGATGATAAATTTAAGATGAATTCTTTTACGACCTGCGCTTTGACAACACAATCAAAATAGTGTCAATTTGACGGACATAATGAAAACATAATGCTAGTCTCCTTCCAGGCGTTATTTACTCTGTGTTACTTATGTTACTCATGTTAACCTCATGTCACCCTAGCAAAATGAAGCCCAGTCTGATTTTAAAGTTTACACAAAACATAACAGGTTAGCCTCCTGTTTCAGCCGTAACCTCGAAGATACGCCTAGCAAAGAGTTGACCAGCCAATTCTACCCGATTGGATAGAGAGCTCTAGCTGTTACCTTCAGGCTCTTCATAAACAATCTCGTCGCTATGGCCCTGTGTCGACAACATGGCAGGGATTCCATAATCGGTCACTTTCAGAACCCATCTGCTGTCGATGACGCAATTTGATGACGTCAGTCGACCATGTTGCTTGACGGGACTATCATGCAAATACCGCATTCCCTTTAGATATGAACAAAGAGACGTAACTACCTTCAAAAATTTTGATCTACAGAAAGCTGTGAGTATAAATTGCTCCGGAACCCAGTTTGTGGACTAATTCTGAATGTTTTGAAATGTCAGCCATTCTGATTACATTTTATATTTTAGTAAGAAGTAAAAGAAATACACACAGAATGTTTGCGCAACATTGAACTCAAGTCTGTATGATGAGGTTGGGTGCCTCGAAAAATCAAATTCTGTGAGAAAAAATGAAACTTTCTTCAAACACAAAGAGCAAGAAACGTTGAATCAGCAATTAAAATTGGCAAAAATAATCAGGCAGTGGGCTCATCGACGGCCAGTGACTTCGATAATCAAGAGAATTTCCCCTAAAATCGCTCAAAAAAAAATCTGAATATGGAACAAGAACACTTATAGAAATACAAAAGAGGAAAAATAATTCGAGAAGCAAACTGTACTTACTGAGACTAGATCCACTAGTAAAGAGGATTTGAAAGTCCAATCCAATTTTAAGTTTTCATTACTGTAGATATCCTACAAACAATTAAAATTCCGACGATTTTAGAAAAATAATTTCATAATAACATTTAATGTTGTTTATTTTGATGTCGAAGCTTTAGCAGCAAAATAAAATGAAGGGAAATATCTCTGTTGTGCGAGGGCAGTGCCTTAGGTGGAATTTTTTTATCAGAAAGGTCACTGCAGGCTGCCGTAGGTACAAGAACGACAGTCAGCATCACTGCCTCATGAGATGAATAATTCAAATTGCCAGAATCTTCATGAGGCAAATGGAATCAGGAATGAATCATTTGTAAGCAGTTTGCTTAAAATTAGCTTAGCTGTAGGGCTGTTTTGGTTTTCAAAATTTCAACATTTCCTGTATTAACAAATATGACGTCATATTAAACAGAAAAAAGTTCTCATTCTACGCAATTCCCTTTACTTTTCAAGATAGATCTAGAAGGTCTCTTCATGCACATGGGGCATTATTTGCAACATTTTTGGAATCGTAAGAATGCTTGTTGCGATAGTAATACTGGGAAATCCGACGAAAATATGAGTCACACTTATTCTGTGTTATTTTTCCCCATGTAGCTAAGAAAGTCGAACACATCTACCGAACCGAACCCTACCCCAAAAGGAAAGAAAGGGAAGGTTTAAATGCCCCAATAAGGTTGCTTAACTTCAGTCTAACACTCAGTGAAGTAGAAAGCAGAATATTTAAGGATATAGTCATAGAAATAGCAGTTTACCTACCCTGAGGCTCATTCGGGTACAATATTCATACACCCAGTAGTAATCGCCTGGCTCTGAGTAACAGCCAATAAAAGGGTTGATGTTTTCGTGTCGTAAATCGCGGACCTGCAAGTAAGCCACAACTCGTTAATCAAACAGGCGTTGAACGCTTGAGGGCAATATTAAGGGCAAGTCACGTGAGTGTGCGCACGCACAGGATGATTTAGAAGTGCTTAGACATGATTTCACATTAATAAAAACGTATTAGGATAGTTCTCATATTACAAACCAAATAGTGCACCCTTAGATATAACTGTTACGTTGTAATTCCACACCAACATAAATCATTTACTAAGGTTCTGTTTTATATTTGGCCTAGCCTTGAACTATAAAATCACAGTTTGAAAGATTTATTGGTTGCCACAGATTTGTATCAACCTTTTCTATGAAAATGCTAATGGCATTTAGAATTTCGTAGTTGCTGTGGCAATTGACATAATTGGCGCCTTTCAAAGTCCTTTGCTGCAGTGCCTACCACTTGTACTTGACTGGATCGAAGGCAAGAAGTAGGCCTACAGACTGGTACGTCAAAGCTTCAGGTCGTGTCTGAGGTTTTCTCAAAAACTATGATAGATGCATCAAGCAAACGTTCTTAATCACATTGAGCAGGAGTCGGAGGCTATCGGCACAAAAACTGGATGTGACAGGCCATCTACAGATACCTAGTAACCACTCAACTTTTTGGAGGCTACTTGGTGACTTATTAAGGTAAAGTCCATCAAGCAATTGCTTTTTTCATATTGTTTGACCTATAACGGAATAGTAGACGGCAGTATTTTTATTTTTTTGATGAATGCTCTATTTTTATAACAGAGTGTAAATACAAAACGGATTTTTGTTATTTTTAAGCGCTACAAATCAGTCTAAGTTACGTAACTCTGCTTTACAATTTGTCCTCTTCTTGAACAAACTTGTTAGTTTTTTGTTTAAATTTTCTTCTGGGATGTATCATAATTTTAATTACTGCTGCTATGGTTAATAAAATTCTTCCTCTCTAAATTTGGCTATAAAGCCTAAGATGTCAGTGTTATCTAATTGAGTGATTTTCTCTCATAAAATATCAACATCTTGAAGCAGCCACCCTAAACTCTGCATAGTAGTCGAAAATCTCTTTAAGCCTTGTAAAAGGTAATTTCTTTAGATATTAACACAGACGATAAACAAAACTTTGTATTTCTATGTCCCCAATCTATTAGCCTGTTCGCCCTACTCACCCAGTCCTTTCATCTCTAATCCTGACACAGCTCGCAATGTTCTTTTTATATTTCTGAAATACGGTTTTGTAAGCTTAGAGGGGGGTTTTCTAACTTTTCCATTTTGACTCAATTCTTTCCCCTCACTTAAAAACCCGGATTGTTTCAATCGATTAATGAACACTTTGTCATGTGTCACTGCCTCACAGAAATAAATTTCGTTTGAAATGGTTCACGGTTTAGCATGCGTGCCCTTTTGCGGTAAAAGGAACAGAGATTACATTTGTAGCACCATTCCCGCACAAAAGTCAATAACTCACACGTTCATTGTTTGATGTGAAATAGTCCACAGTAGATTGACTAGATATGACTACAGATTTTAATATCCTAGATGATGCTTGAACGTTGAGACAGAACAGCGTTAAATTTATAGGATTTGAAATATCCTCCACTTTCAATAAATTGACCAAAAGGTTTTTTTTAAGTATGTAAGTATTGCTTTTCTTAAATGCTTTTGATTGGTTGTTTACCTCCTTTTAATTTTGAGCAAGATCTATGAAAGACTTACTGGTTAGCTCAGTAGAATAATAATGGGTGATCTGTGACGTTTATATCACAGGCATAGCATGTTTTTGTTTTTATTTGTTTTGTTTGTTAAGTAACTCCAGGCATTCACTCATGATTTCCGAATAGGGCTTAAAATGCGTCGATAGCAATACAGCCATTATCAGTCACCACAGAATGAGACCGTTAAAGCTACAACCAAATGCAGTTCTTACCGACTTCATCTGTCGCAGTAGTGAGCTTTTTATTTCGAACGTTGGCCTTTTAATGTTCTTGACAAAAACCAGTTCTCCCTAGGTACAAAAGAAGAGGAAAAAGTGATGAATTATCGATGAAGGCATTTCCCATTCAACATCCCATAGCCCCAACAGAGAAAATCGCACATAAAGTTCTGATTGCACGAATGCCAAGCAATTGGGAGAATACTCCGTGAACCCTCAGATTTATAGTGTTTATTCATCCATAAAATGCATGGAGCACAGGGCGCAAGAGATGAATAAGAACTTCCGAGTAATAATGAAGTCTGGACTGTTACACGGTTATCTGGAAATGGCTGTGACAGTCTGTTTGCTTGGCGCATTCCGCAGACAATATTCGAATGGATTATTTCTCTTTTAAAGAACTTTCAACCATTAATTTTTATTTTGGTCATGGAGGGACGCCATTTACAATGCAGGATCCAGAACCCTGATTGAATTTCATTCGTGGTTGGACTCGAATATCAAATCAAATTTACTTTAAATCGACTTAATCGAATGTCCAGAATATTTGAGTCAAATCCGAAAGTCAAAAGTACCCAACTGCTACATAAAAAGTACTCGTAATCATTTGAACGAATAATAAAGTTGGTATTCGGAATCAATCATTTCAATACTAGACGGTATTCCGTCTTGCAATGGGTTCCATCTTGATTCCTTATTGATGATGCATTCTCCTTTCCTACAATCTAAGCCTCGCAATGATATATTGCTTGCGGGAGATGCAAGATCTTTGCCCGTGGTCTTGCATATTAATCTAAGATACAGTTTTAGACAGTATGACAAAGAAGCTAGGCCTTCTCATTTTCACTAGTTTAATAATGAAACAGAATATTGAATTAATTCCATCTGTAAGTTGGGCAAAGTTTAACCTATGTATAACTAAACAGCGCGATAACGAATATTCGTAGGGCATTGACGGAATGGACAGTAATCTTCTTTCTTGTGGATGGTCATTCCCTTGTGACAAATACCTGGATAGGTCTAGGAGGCTGTGTTAATAATAACATGACTATCCTACCGCGATTCCCTGCAATCGGAAAAAAAATTAAAATGTTCAACTACAATATTCAAGTTGCATCAACAAATATAAAACCAGTTTGATTTCTCTCAACGCCAAGACAGTGAACGAAGAAAAGAGAACTTGGCTTAAATTGCTTGAAGGAGACAACAAAACATCCATACGCAACATTAGAATCTATCGGCACAAAATATATGTTCCCCTCGGCTGCGGGTAAAGTTGCACCTTATTTCTTGTTCAGGCGTTTAATGGCTTGCAATATGTGTATGCATAGACATAGCTTTCTTCACAGTCACCGCTCTCTTGAAGTATGTACACTTTGGGAATGGCACGATCAATATTAGTTTTCGACGTTACAGACTCGGTTTCCATTTCACTTGTATAAATTTCTCGACATTAGACTCAGTCAATAATTGCTCGGTCAGGCGCGTTTTTCTCTGACGGTAATTCACGTTGCTACCGCGAGAACACGTTTTGCGAGACTTTGTTCTTTTTGTCCGATCACGACCAAACTGGACCAGACAGGATATCTTTTTGACCGGTACTGTTGGCTCTGGTTTGTCCCTAAGACAAAACGTCAACGTCCGCTTTGCGTATGCCAGCCTAAATTGCCAGGTCGGTATTAGATAATGAATATGTTATTGTGTCAGTCTCCATGACAGCAAATCATGGATGATTGATTGCCAAACCAATATTATGTTAGGAATTCTTACGCTTTATTGCTATCATTCACATAAAAATGGCATTTTCGTGTGGTTTCGACCATCACCAACAATATCGGAGATCATTTCGGGCGAGGTTGTTATATATTGCTCACATTTTGACGTCACTTCTTTGCACAAGAGGAATATGAGAGGAAGTAATTGAATAACTTTGTTTGGAATTTTTACTTACAAAAAAGTTGATTTTCAAAAACAATGTATACAACAGGGGACCAGGACCTTTACTCAAAGTGAAACCGTTGTAAATTGAAAACCACGACTTGTGACTGTATCATTAAAACAAATTTTCGAATTTGAGCCCATTTCTCGGATTTCCATCTGATTCTAATGAACAAACGTAATTCATCCTTAAAACCTCGAAACGTTTTTCAAACAAAAACCCTAATTTAGAATCTAGGAGCGATAAACACGTGGATTTAATTGTATTGCTAAGACTCACTTGTGTCATTTTGATATCAAACCGTGGTAATTTGCCGCAGCAAATTTGTGCGATTGAAATGTTCACTTCTCAATGCAAGTCCATCAAAGCATAGCAGTCATCGGCTGCAATTTTAGCTGAAATCTGAAATGCTGCTTTCTAGATGGGATTTTAAACATTTGCGGCGAATTCCAGCTGTTAAAAGCGCCCGATGGACCTCAATGCAAATAGGAAAGGAAATGAGACAAAGAAATGCAACATTTGAGAAACCTCAGCTACTTACATTATAACGGGCCACTTTGTAGCGCTTAGTGATTTCGATCTTGGCTGGGACGGATTCCTTTCTTTGACCTGAATGGATGGATCTTTCCTTGAGTGTCTGTTGGCTCCCTTGAGTCCTTCTACTATCCGGAATACCCTGACAGTAATAACCATACTCAGAGAAATCACAGTCTCTTTTAAACTATCATTAAGTAGGAAACAAAGGAACTGCTGTGAGAAAAGCTACTGTGGAAACTCTGTGAGAAAGCGTATATGAGTTATACGTATATGAGTGCTTTTTATTCAAAATCATAAACACAGAAATTTACGCCAATAACCTAAATGGTTTTCAAATCAAATGCAGTTATTCCGACGAAGCAAGATATTTGTCTCTCAAAAAATATAGCACCTATTAATGTATCACTAGCGATATAGCAATATAACTCCCTGTTACTGCAGGTTTTATACATTATCAGTGTTTGGTGAGGGCCAGGTTTGGGCTTAAAATTAAGACCATAGCTGCTCAGAATAATTTAGTTCTAAAGAGCTTCAAAAGGTTACAGTGAGCTCTGTTCTTATTTTATGTAGTCATCCCAAGGTTGAAACACCTTCTTAAGGTACATGAATATTGAAAAACGAACGATATGTGGAACAAGACAAAAAACTCCTGTTCGTAAGATATTTTTCTTTGGCCATCTGACCATAAAGAGAAATCGACGAGAATACTTCAAGGTAAAATCTGAATTCGCAATCATCTGAGGGCGTCCATTTGGATTAGTGATGTCGGAACGACGCCAAAAAAGACACCACTATCAAAAATTAAATCTGTTTCGAGTGCTGCCGACGAGCCGAGTCGGTAGCACTTGTCCATAAAACAATAATGAAGGGTATGGCCTTTTGTGACACAGCGACGTTGCAATTTTTGAAGCGATGAGATCCGCGAGTAGAATTAGCAATTAGTGTCGCTCGGATGGCCTATCGGTTTGGTGACCCTAGAATCGCCTGGGGTTACGACACAGCGCGAGGAATCCACGATACCTTTCAAGATTGCTTCATTACAACAGACTACCAATGGACGGAACAGTAGGTCATATGAATGGTAGGCTTTTAGAACATTAAAATGGATACTTCTTTGAAAAAGCGCTTTCACTGTCCGCTCAACTTTTCATGAATGAAAATTTAAGTCTACGAACTCAGGCTAGAATCACATTAATATGATCACATACTCGACTACTGTTTGTCTTGAACACAAAAAAATCGGTTCAGCACGGCTTAAGGTTTCGAAGTATGGATCCTTTTAAGTTGACAAATTATTTCCCGTCATTTCACTTTTCTTTAGAGAACTGTTATGAAACTCTGAAAGTCTTTTGCTTTCTGGTACGTCAACAGCAGTTATGAGCAAAGTCACTATCATTTCAGTAAAGGAAAAAGAGGTATTTTGTCAAATATTTTTCCAGTAAAAATTGAGGGATACGACTTTTCCTTGGTGAGCAGCTTCATGCAGAAAATATTTCATATTGCCCCACGATATGTTTTTATCAAGCACAGAGACGAGTACAATAATACAACTCAAATATTATAGACAGGACTGAAGTATGCAAAACGCCTGGGCAGGAGATACCATAGGGGCACACAGTATAGAGCCAATAAGGCCTAGCTCCAATGAAAGGAATAATGCTAAAAATTGGCTTGTTGATCGAAGTGAAGCTCGTTGAATGAAGTAAAACCCAAACAGGAAATTTCTGATTTGAAATTGATCAACATGTCTGCTTCTTAAACTCCATTGAAACATTCGGCCGGGGCATCGGGAGACCTTTTTCACTCTTGATTACAATTTGGTTTTCTTTTCACTCGCTGTAGATTTCGTCCATTTACCTACACTATTTCTCCTCCCGCTCGTTTGCTTTTTGCTACTCGGGTTGTCGACCACAGAATGTTATCAATCACTTCATAAACTCCATTTGCAACCGAACTTCAGCATTTACCTCTTAAACGATGCCGTGCTTACTGTTGTGTGTACTTTCACTACATCGTTTCGACTATCGCATAAGGCATTAACTTTAGCTTATAAACATCTTGGATCTTGAGACCTAAACACAAATTCAAGTGGCACTTTGATTCTTTCAAGAACAAGCCAAAACAATGCTGCAAAACAACAGCAAAATATTAACTTCACTAACCCGTGAGCTTCCGAATTCCCCCGACGACCGCTCAAACATCAAGTCTCCTTCCGTCATAAGGACCTTGTTCAAACCGCTGGCCATTTCTGATTTTAACATCCGTCTCCTAGGATGAAAACAAAGTAGATTTTATAAATGCTAAGTCCATAGAATGATCGACAAACTGGCTTTGTACTTGGTGCCAAAAATCCAGTAAGTTAGTATTATAAATGTGTACATGTTCGAGTTTTGCCAGTGAAATACCACAAAGCTTCAAACAGAAAACAGATTTGAGATCAAGGAAAATCACTTACCTGACAACAATAACCACTGCTATGGCAACTGATATAGCCAGACATACGCCTAGGGCGCCCCCTACTGCGGCTATCACAGTGGACACTACTGGACCTGCAAAAACACCAAGAAAATTGACAATTCAAAAAATTCCCTGTAAGAGAATTTGTCTATAATTGGTCATTTTGCAACAAAGACATCTTGAAATTTTCTTGAAGATTATCTCTTTGATACATAGGCCTAGGCCTACTTATGTTTTCTTCAGCGGTGGTTAACTTGTCGGGAATTTTATCGGAGTAAGAACCATGATTGGATACCGGTTTGAACTTCGATTTACACATACCTCCAGGGATGTCAGTGGGGCAAACAGTACCGTCCAAAATGCACTGTTCATCTGGACCAAGCACACTGCCTTGTGGCCATTGCACTTCACTTCCCGCCAATTCTCGGACTAAATATTGACCCTCTCCCATATCACTCTTGTCATCTGCCCGCTCAATAGTTTTGACGACCCCAAATCTTTGGGACTCTGCTTTGTAGTCCAGAAGAACAAACTCAAAGACCCGAGCACCCTCGGCGTCAATTGTGACATTTCCCGAGATGCCCTCGAATGTGAGATTGCGCATGGCGGCCCAAACAGCCGTGGGAGACGGTTTAACAGTTTTCCAAGTAGAGCCGACGGCTCTTGCATAGAGATACACGGAGTCGTAGACATAACCGAACAGCGTAGAAACCTGGAGAGGAATTGGAAAGCAAAAGAAATTCAAGCGCAGATTGCATCTCCGTGAAATTATTCACATCTCCTCAGCTAATTAAGACATGCTAACAGAGTTTGGTGTGGCATTAACCATAACCCCTTGTGAACTAAAAAATAAGGATATAGACAAATTAAAAGGGTGAAGTGACATGGACTACATTTGAAGGGTTTATCAGTTGCGGGGAAGTGGCAAACGTCATAAAACAGATTCAAAACTGCACTTCCAATATGGAATTAACAATACAAGTGGTTGCTTTGATACTCGACAGTCATAACTTAACATCGCCAAATGTTGTCAAAAACTTGAGCAATCTTACCTCATGACCTGCAATCTTACTGGCAAACGGCTCGCCGTCCAGTGTCTTATGAAATCTGTCCATTCCTTGCTCGTAACGCGTCCCCAGACCAGCTGGTTGCACCGTCAGTACAAACGCTGCCTCGTAAGCTGACTTCAGCCGGTTCTGACTGGTTTGGTGTGATCTGAACCAGTTATGGGTCTCCAGCCGAACCCCAAATAGTGTACTAACGAGGAAAAAAGCGTAACTACCAGTGGTCATGTCGAGATCTGATGCAGCGAGTAGTAAGTTGTTCTGGTCGTCTGTCCCAAGAGCAGGGGAGGGCATGCATACTATTATTGCTGTGATTGGTGATGAAAATGAAGAAAAAAGACAAAATAAAATTGGGGACATTTCCCTGCAAGTACACTTTATGTAATGGTAGTACTTTACAAAAAGTTGCAAGTGAAAATTAAAGTCAGAGATAAGTTTGATATTAACGCAATTGTTCGTGGTGTACTACATGCTAAAATTATTCATGAGGAGTGACAAGAACAGGCTTTGTCAACACTTTTCTCAGCCCAAGTGGTAACTTGACACACCTGAAAAGTCAATCTTGTTCCAGCTGAGACCTACGATATTATATACACACAGCTTGTATAAGACCTTAGGATCGGACGTGCCCCCCGGCATGCGGTTTCTTAATATACATGTACTAGTAACTCGCATTGTTCCTGTCCATTTTAGAAGCAATGCGAAAATAAGCAGCAAAATAAAATACACGTAGCAATCACGATGCTCAAGTTTCAATTCTTGGTTTGAATTAAATAAGTTTTTCAAATTTTGAGGTCAAAAATCACAGTAACATTCTACAAAGCATCAAAATAGTAACCGTGTAGAAATGATATCAAGCACAATAGGCTTGAGATGACGTAAATCCCGTGGGTTCAGGGTTTCCAGAACAGAAGACATAATTTTACGGAAGGGGAAACTTCATTTGATGCGAAAGGAAAAAGAACGGTACTGAACCGACCAATCAAATGAATTATTGCTGGCGTGTATGCAGTCCAAAAGGTCAACCTAAAGATTAAGACTGTCGACCGGATTTCATAGCCGGAATAATCTTTCAGTAACACAAATACGAGTGAGTTAATTGAAATCCAGTCCAGCTGAGCACACATTAAACATCCTCATCTCAGCGTTCTACACGGGAAATCACGGTCAAGATGTCTCTCCATATGCCAGTGAATACAATAACATCGTGGGTGAAGCAAGTGAAAAAGTTCATCAATTTAATAATTAAATGCTCTAATGAAACTGCATCCTTCGTTTCAGCCCATAGTAACTTTTTGATTCATCATTCATAGCTCCAAAGCGTTTGTAGGAATTAATCATTCTGTTATCTTCACTGCAAGACGTGCATTTTAACTATTATGGACAACTAAGGCTACAGTTTTCTGCCGGGTAAGCATTAGCCCTGCAGATCTCCTGTAGCTAGAGGGTCCAAAGTGAAGGCAATGTGCAGACACAAATTCCGGCTTAGTACAATTCGAGTATTGCTTTCTCGCCGATCACTTGTAAGAAACTGAACAAACTGTTCCTAAAACTATATCACAACCATATTTGGCTGTAAAAAGAGGCAAGATGCAAGCGTATATTCTCCCTTTGAGATGTTTTTGCTTTTGCGGTCTTGTTTTTGCTTTCTCCTTCGTTTATCCTTCCACAACCAGACAATCATTTCCACATCTGTCTGTCCTTTAATATCTCGCTGCATGCGTGTATGTCAGTACCTATAAGCTGTCCAGTTTATCCAATTTCAAATACTTCAATGCTGATAATTATATAGCTCTACTGCTGAAGGTATCTCTCTTTTAGGGAGAAGAATTTTGTACATCTAGTCAGAATTTTTTTTAACCTTTATTTTCTTCTATAGTGAAGAAATATCGAGTCCCACAGCTGATCGAGGTTGTGTGTCCTTCCACTCGAGACATTATACTTGAGAGCTTGAAGACATCGCTCTAGGCGTGTTCATCGTCTGACGGATGCATCTTCATTCGGTCATCTTGAAGGAGATCGAAGCTGCAAAGAGTTGCCATCATCTCTCTCAACACCTCCGATAATATCTCCATCGATTTGTCGAGTCGGAAAGGAACCGAAAGGTGAATGTTCTGTCTCACAAAGGCTCTATCACCGGGAACTTTTCACAGAGAAAACAATGCCCGAATTCATCTCTTACTCAAATTATTTTGGTTGATTGTTTGTGCAGGATTGTAGGCAATCAAAAACGTTTTGTGGTGTAGTATTCGCAATGGCTCACTCGACAGCAACGTGGGCAGTGCAATTTAATCACCACCGTACAAGAGCACACATTTTCTCATTGGTTGGTATTTCTTTTGTGAAAACCTCTTCTTGTTAAGGCATTTCTCTTAGAATCTCGTAAATGAGGGAGTCTTTGTCCATGCTGCAATAGTGTTTGGTGCTACCGGCGTGGAAGAAAGACTTCGATAATTTCAGGAAACTCAATGACAAACGAAATGAATATTTTTTGGAGATATCTTCAGTAGTTCACTACGACATTGCTTCCTAAGAAATTTCATTTTAAATCCTTAAAAATGAAAATAACCCATTCTTATTAAGTGCATATCACTGTGAGATCCCTATGCACTGTATATCATTGTTATTCCGTTTGCTTGCAACCTAAAATATACAAACAATCATTACCGTTTCAAACATATTTCTTTGAAAATAACTTAAAGCTCTGTTTTCAAGTTTATCATGGAGTGTTTTTTTGCACCGACATTGTATGGGGCTGGCATAAACAGGTAAAACGAGTGGGCAAACAATGCGCTTTTGAGTATTTTAGGTGACATGTTGATGCAGATGTAAAGGTTTTTCTTCAGACCGTGACTTGAGTAATCTTTCTGTATCACTCCAACCGCAAACCCTTGTTATACCTGAAGTTTCAGGCAAGACGGCAAAAGTCAGTGTTGTTATCTCTGACCCATGGGCAATTATGATAATATCGTGCTTATCTCGTGACTTTCTTATTTTCTGAAGTTGTATTAGTTGGATCTCTTATATCTTAGTACATGTCACACAACTCTCGTTTTCATCAATACTATGAACCTTTTGGTTGTCAATGAAAAAGAGATACATCTGAAGACTGAAGAGCAATAGAAGGGCTTCCCTTATAGTTTAAAATAGCACACTAACATTCTACGCTAATCGTTACATCCAGGGAACTTGAAATTCTAATATTAAACCCCTGACATTCCAACATTATCTTCATCCAGTTTGATCGATACAAATGCCTTCATTTTCAGGTAGAGAGATAATTGCATCCACACCTCCTGGACGATGATGTCTTCCCACGAAGCACTCAGCAAAATCTTACCAGTATCCTAGCAACAAACGAGCGGCCCCAACACGGCACCGGGCAACTTCAAAATGTTGGATGTCTTAACAGGACAATCCGTTATCTTTACAATCAGCGTTATACACCAAAGTACAGCCGTATTTCCCAAAATCACATGCAGGCAACTTTCACAAGACATCACTCATGTTTTTTGTCTACAAAAAAGAAGCTATATAACTCTTACAGAGGTGTGTCTTTAAATTCGACAATTCCACCAGTACATGCCATGGTTCACCAAGTGGACGGGTATACCGGAGGAATCACAGATTAACGACGATCTAAAAGGATACGCTTGAGACGTACAGGTACATTGTAAACCGATGAGATTATGATATTACTGGGAGCAATGGCTGCTGTGACAGATGCAATTCAGTATTTGATACACCTATACCCAGGGCATTGAGACTGAACAATGATAACTCAATTGCAGTGATCAACAACGCCTAATTGAGGGTGATGAAGTACCAACGTCTACGGCACACCATATAATGTGATTACAGTCAGATGACTGCCTTGCTTTTTTTCCCGCGAAAAAAGTGCGTGGTAAGTCAAACAGTGTGCTGGGATGAGTGACGTTCCTGCGCTGGTATGGCTGGTGCATGAATGTAAGGACATAATTATTTTCGCCTTTTGCACTCGTTCGAAGCATTCCTTTTAGTCCTTATGTTTGAAGATAAAATATCCCTGGCAGTCTCTGCATCCATCACTTCTTAAGTTGCTTCAGTATCACCTTCCCACAAATAGTCCACGAAAGTCTTGCTTCTGCGTACGTTGCATGTGTTTGAATTTGGATGTGATTGACCGCTTGGTCGAGGTATTCGCCTGGCACTGAGTCCTGTCTGACTTATATCTGTAGAGAAAGCGAAGCTTGCACAACATTGATGATATGGCAAGCTTCGAAATGGCTTCGATTTCAACACATGCTTGATACCAGCACTACATAACAAGGCTCTGAATTTCGTAACGAGATAGCAATGCTTACACACACATCCTCATAACAGACACATGTAAATTTTTCGGTCGGTGTATAATACCTACCAAGATATCATTACAGGTGTTCTCCTTCGGCATTCTCCTTCTAAAAGGTCTTTCATGAAAGTAAAAACCTCAGAATTGAACCCTTCTGTTATAATTCCTTCATATTTTCAAAATAGGACGTTTTATTCTTGTTAAGTTTTCTTTCGCAGAGAAAAAATCCAGTTGTTGAAAACAGCTATTTATTTGATTAACACTTCTGCTGTCAAAAATAAATATGCAACCTTTACCCCCAATTTGAAAGCTTTCATGTCAAGCCAACAAATCTTGGGCATCGCTGGAAGCCGCAATTGACTGCTGACAATCGTACGTTTCATATTTTGTGCAACTTTGTGTGACATTTTTACTCGCCAGAAGAAACAGGAGCTCACGAAACAAATTTATGCTAATTGAATGTAACCGATGTAAACCGCCCAAGGAGATATCAGCGTCTCTTCATGAGAAAGAAGCATATCATTAGACGTCATCTCAAATTTGTCAACGAGAAGATCAGAATGAGGTGACTTGGAATAACGAGGTTTACCGTAAATCAAGCTTTGTAAAATATTATACTACTGCAAGAAGTATAGAGGTAAGACACATGAACATTGTAAAGTCACTTACATTAATTGATATGACAACATTGCAGCTGTGACTGATTTTTAAAAAAAATGGTAAGGAGAGAAAGAAAATTGAATCCTGAGGATTTCACAGGCAGCGTAAAGATTACCTTGCAATATCTATGCAGTTCCTATCTGAATCATCAACGTCTCGGGGGCTGGATTATGTACGAACATCATTTTATGAGAAACTTAAAAAAAAAATTCATCCATATTCAGATTAAAAATTATCATTGATTATCAGAAATGTGTAGGCCTACGTTCAATTCACTTAGCCATTGAAAGGATGCGCGTATATTTAAGACTCCGGTTTATCACTAATTGAATCAAGAGTTTAACGACTCGGATAACTGAAGGGAGAAAAAGAATAAAAACGTATTCTGTACTTTCCTGTCTCTGCTTGAAGATGGTAAGGAGTTAAAATAAGACAGCGAGTCTCGTAGAGTCTAACGATTGTCTTCTACAATCAGCCACTCTTTATCTGACAATGGACCGACCGGAGAAGAGGCTCTTCAATTTTGTCGGTAAATTAGATGTACTTCGACAAGGAAAGCTCGGTTCAAGCGCTGATGTAACCAAACCGAGGAGGTAGAACCCCAATGAAACACGACTAAGACAAGTAGACAAATAATTGCGCCAATCCATTATGCACAACTATCCATCGAGAATTTTGGTACAGTTTATTGCTCAAAATAAGGCACAAGTTGAGGTTTAACATACGGCCATCATGTTCAAGCCTTATATGACTATAATAAGTTATAATTTACTATTTAAAAATACCTCAGTCTCCCTATTCAACAACGTGCAACTGGATCGTGTATTAAAATTTGATAATCCCCGCTGATGAGTGATAATGCCTGCCTCACGCAATGGCACTTGGATACGAGAAAGTTAAATTGATTCTGATTGGTCAAGAGTCTGTGTGCACGGCCAAGCACATATCTATTCTCTTATTAATAAACGCGGAAAAGAAAAGAGCTCCATTCCAAACTAAATAATCTACAGATCTCGCCTCAAGAATTTCCGTTTTGTCGTTTCCTGATCACACACATATTCAGAGCATTGCATTCCTGTACCATATATAGCTTGTTATCATTATGTCAGATATTCTAATCAGATAGAGGTCGGCACCATGTCAGATATTCTAATCAGATTGAGGTCGGCACCATTCCTTTGGAGAAAAAACAAAGGAAAAATGCAAGTTTTGTGTAAAACCACCCACAAAGATCACAAACACTCATTGATTCTCAGTGTGCACGGTCGTTGCCTTCGGTCAAGCCATTTCAATATGCCCATCATTAAAAATTAAATAATACAGAGACAGGTAACAGAATTTAAAATTTACAAAAAAATGAGTGTTACAACGTATTTACAGCCTGCTATTGATTTGATATTATACCTTGCAATGAGGACAGATCTACCCGATGTAAGATGAGATCCCAAAGTGGGGCTCACACCACCTGTGAATGGGGCAACGGGGACATGGGTATCATCTCAAAACTTTTCATTTTTGTTTTTTTAGTGAGATAAAGGCGATTGTTAAGTCTGTTTCCTTTCCTTTCCTTCCAAGGTGATAAAAAGCCCTCACAGGTAGCCTCACCCTTCAGAAAGAGCATAAATGGTTATGAAAAAAATTGCAAATCCCCCTCTCCCCAAAAGAAAATTGCCTCCTTCCCTCAGAAAATTTGGCTCTGGGTCCGCTCTTTTGTTCGGTTTTTCAGTCCTCATGCTCACAATTTGTCCGTGTATTTGGGTTTGAAAGCTGAAGACATCAACTAGACTTATAATCTTTCCCCCAAAAGGCAAATCTCCCGCCGTAGTGTGACCTTACAATGCACGGCGGAGCCGAATCCCACAGATTGCAATTTAGCCAATGCATGACTGAATCTGCAATTAAATGTCACACTGTTAGCGAGTGGTGTTTATTCAAGAAAAAACGTACATATCTGGTAGAGCTAATTTAATCGTTGATATATCGGACCTAGATTTTTACTGACATGATCGCAGAGTTGTTTTGCCAAATATCTTGAACCTTGAGATAAGTTCACGTGTTCCAATGAAATTGATTATGATTTCTGCTTGGTCAAACATTTAATTCAGCTTGTTGTAAATGAAATTCATTTCAGTTGTCATGTTTTTCATTCTACCTGTTATCTGAGCATGACATGGAAATCCGTGACCCAGTGCCTAACAAAAAAAGAGAAACAGCAATATCACATGCAGTGAAATTAAAATGAAATGGCGCCTCCCAAAAGAGAAACCAAAGATGAACATCAGGCGTCATTTCAAAGAATTTATACTGCTTTTGTCAATCTTATGTCTTCCATTCTGCAAGACTATTCTGTTTGATAGCAGTAAGAATACTTTCTGGAGTGGAAACAGACAACATCAAAAGGGAAACGACAGTAATAGAGGTTCGAAAATCAGGCTACAGTGAAAGTAAAAGAACGTTTGTGATGTTAACATTCTTACCGTATTACGCGATGAAGGCAACATCACATGCTGACATATTAATCGATACGTATTTAAGCAATTACTTAATCTCAAGGGAGAAATGTTGTCTAAAACAGTTTGATACAAAATGGACGAAATGAGAGTGCCTACTTGCAATGGAAAGAACAGTTCCACTTCAAGGAGGCATGTTTGAAAGGTGCTTTGACAATGCACGTTAGGCCTAAGTATATCGATTCAAAATAACACCCGATGCAAACTCGTAAACACTAGAATCAATGCAAATGGTTGACCATCACGCCAAAATTGCATATCTATCCACTCGACCTGTCTCAAGACCAATTAGAGAAATTCCAAATGAATCTTGTTCCCGAAATGACTGTCGGTTCAATCACATCAGGGTGCCACTTATGTCTTTGATATCACCCGGTGACAAAGCTAAATTGCACCGTGGCAGGTCTTGTCATCACTACGACGTTCATGATAAAAAGGCAAATACTGTCTAGTTTATCACTCATGTAGACATCCATTCTATTGCCATTTTGAATAGATACAGTAGACCTTTTTACAGAGAAATTACACCGTAGATAGTCAACTGCAGGCAAAGTAGCTAAAATTGAATTATAAAACTACAAAGGACGTTTCGACTTACCCACTCCGCTGATTTCTAAAGCTGAAAACCCCAAAAGGGTAAAATTTTCAGAAAATAAAATTTACATCAGAGAATCAAGCGTGAGCGCCCCAATGACTTAAAAAGAGTCTACAAATAGACCCAACCAAGAGCATTAATTTTGAAAAACACCTTCGGAGAGTCTTAATCTTGTATCCTGATTGTAACTCTGACCACAGAGGAGATATTTATAGTAATTATCGGAGTGCAGAAAGTATCAAACGCTTTCGACTTAATCGCGCAGTGGTTAGCTGCTCCGCGGTAGTTGGTTGGAAATATACACAAAAGCTTGAAGATTAGCTGCAGAATAGAACGAAAGGACAAGGGTCACAGTCTTTTTACCGAAATGAGTTTAGTCCAGTCTGTTAAGTGAACGCTGGGTGTACGACTCCGGACACTGACTCGGCATGTAACATACCCATTGGGGGTGGCGCCGCTAGGGGGGTTGAGCCCCCCAAAAGGTATTCAGTTTTTATTCCTAAACTCAAACATCCAATATACATCTATATCTTAAACTACTAGCTCTAACAGAGTGTGTGTGGGTGTGTGTGTGTGGGGGGGGGTTGAGCACCGTGAGCTATTTTTTTGGGGGGGTGGGGAATCGAGGTCCGAGCCCCCCCCCACTTTCGACATATACTGGGTGCAACACTGAGCAGGAATGGTGCGAAGGCGGGCTTCAACGCTTCTACCTTCGATCCCTCATTGAGTAATCTCTCTCTTGCTCCTGTAATTTTTTTCCAGATTGTACTGAAGAAATTGAGGGGGAAAAGCCACAACTGCGCGCTTTAATTGTAATTATGTGTTTAAAATCTCAAGAAAGACCTGCTGGGAAAAACTCAGGCAAGTGGATAGATTTCAGGCAAATGATGAGAATGATTGAAGGATGAATTTTATCCAAGTAAAATAAAATAAAAAATTGATTGAGGAGTGAGTCTGGTGGAATGACAGGATGTCCGTGTTTTTCTTTTTAGATGATTTGAGAAGTGATATATTGATATTGATCAATCAGTATTCATATTGATTGATTAACCAGTATCCATATTGACTGATTTATGTCCATTTTGAATTCGATAATATGTATTAATCAGAACAAAATTTGATAACTATTTTGTGCATCACTGACGCCAGAATACAAAAGACAGACTAAATTTTATCAAAGTGAATTCAGTTGTTGCTGTGCCCTGGCATAACAACAGCGATATTTGGCTGATTACCTTTAACGGGTGAAAAGATTTTCTTCAAGGCAGTCTTGAATTCGTCATCAGCCGCTCCGACAGTTACAGTCAGAAATTGTTCTACGACATATCCACCCTCATTCAATGAATTTTTAATCTCAATGGCAAGAATTGTCCATTGGGGCTCATCCAGTGCAAGGATCGCGGAGTACTTCCAGCCGAAATGATCCACCGTCGCCAGAAAGGCTCTGGCAACTTCGGCGTCTGATACGCTCATCCTTATGAAAGCTGGGTAGGCGTTATGGTCAGCAAGTCTGGTATCGGTACAAGACCAGGAAGCGAGAGGCACACCTCGAGCTTCGGCCAGCCGAGCTGCTGGGTCGCAGGACATCCAGTGTACAGGGCCTAAAATGGCATCCAGGTCCGTGTCCAAAGCCAACGCCGCCACCGACAATAGCTCCTTGTTCGAGGAGCAGTGAGTCTCCCGTACGCGGAGTGCCAGCGTGACGTTGGCCGGTATGATCCCAGGAGTTGAAGCGTTGATATCCCCCAAGGCAAGCCTAGCTGAAACGTCGGCCAAGGCGCTGGAGTATATGGACGAACAGTTCACCGGGGCTAGAGCTTCCAGAGTATAGGTGCTCATGTAACTGCTGGCCATTGTAAGAAAATAGGACAGTAACGCAAGATGCAGATAGTTAAGCATGAGGATAACGGCGAATTACATCATCGGTGGTACTGGGTACTTGAACACAAGAATTCTTGGCAATAACCGAACCACACATCCAACGTCAGACAAACGAAACTGGTCTGAAAATCTTTACATTGCATTGTAAGCAAGGACTCTATTCAGTTGGAATAATATCGACCTTTGATTCGCAAAAACAAAATCTTGGAGTCCGTTTTGAGAACGTCTCTTGACAAGTTGTCGGCCGCCGACTTCACTATCTGCCGTCCTCTTGGGTTCTGTTCATTAGAAATTAAGTGCCAACGATACAATCTGTATATACCCCAGAGATAAATTGCCTCTGGGAAATATGGTGATTGGCCGTCTCTACGAGGGTCTTAACACCTGCATTGTCTGCAGTGAGTTCGGGAATTGATTGGTCCAGTTGCCATGGCAACTTCGGCAGTGATTTGGAAGACGAATTTAACAACGGGGAACAATTCGAGCGGGGGGGTCCTTCAGCGCGCATGCGCAATTCAGAGCTACTAGTTTAGGTAGGGAGGACCTCTTTTGTGAATGGAATTTCATGAAGCAAGTATCACAATGGCTGAGAAGCTTTTTATGTATTTGATCCCAAGGGTATTGCTTATTAACATACCATCGAAGGAACAAGAAAATGCCATCGTGAATTTAAAAAAAAGAGTTGATAGCGTTGTTTCCCTGTTCACATTCATAATTCAGTCCGGTTTAATGGATTTCGGATGTTAAAGTCATAAATAAACTAGCATTATCTTGCCTGCATGAACCTCATGTCTTGTATATTTTATGGGAATGTCGCCCTCAGATAGCCTTCGGTCAACTAAGAAGGAATATTTTGTAAAAGTGAGCGACTGGGCTGAGGTGTGCCGTTTAAAATACAAACGAATTGAACGTATCATCATGTAAAAGTACACACAATGATCGATGCCAAAATGAAATTCTACAAATCGCTAGAAAAACTGAAAGGTAATTGTGTATATATGCCTAATGAATGATATACCACGACAGTCTCGTTGGTCCAGTCATGATGCGCCAAACCCTGGTCGCTGGGTTTGAGTCCACTGATTGGTCAATTGTCACTCAACTGCCTTTAGATACGCTAATATATGGAATTGCAGTTTGTTGTCTTACACCAACATTTGTCGACATTTACCACAAAAAAGTGTTGTCGAATGATGTGAACTTGCGGATGTCGATGTCCTGCGATGTCGGATGTCATCATGAAACTGTATTGTTGGTGGGGAGGGTGCCGAAACTCTTTAATACATGTAGTCTTTTCTTTCGACAAATCGACAATCTTGACTTTTGGACAACCCTTTTTTTTCGGCAGAAGACTCTGAGAACCAAGTTTGTCGATCTTACGACGTTAAATTCAAGGCTAGCGTACCAAACAAGTATGACACGTGACTTGATAGAAATCAATAATATACCTACACCTGTCAATAGCAGTTCCTTTATGTAGCACAAACAATTAATTGAACTGATATTTACAAATGTGAGAAAAAAACAGGTGCGAATTCATTTTCTCTTTGCCTAGTCTTCAATCTATGTGCCTGTTTTGTGCTAAAAGTGAAAATCTCATCATTTTTTTATATGTCGAACCCGCAAAGGTCGATTTATTTAATTAATGGCATGAGGCATCACACCATGCGCGTGTTAGATTTGACACCAGAGAATTTCATGAGAAATGCACGTGCTTTATTCCAACGGAATTCAAGACTGTGGGTGTTAGCATGTTGAGCCCTGCCCGCAGTAAACATGTCTTGTGTTCGTATCTATTGTTTCAGATAGGGACTGGAAATCACTAACTACAGGTTACGAATTCTCATCAAAACGCTGAAATCTTGACATTGTGATTCTCAAATGACCTGCAAAAAGTAGTCAGATTAAAAATAGAGTCATTTACATAAAGAGATGTCCGAGTCCTCCACCTTTTATCATCGGCACTGTTTTATTATCCTTGCATTAAACTGTGGTTAACTACTCGTCAGAGCTAAATACTTATTTATTTGGTCAATATGATTTCATGGTCTAAAAATCTGCAGCTAAATATTCCATATTAAGGTAAGAACTTTTAGTCACCAAAATACCTCTCTATGGAACGGAAATCATTATACAACGAACTGAAACTTCGCTGTTGATAAACTATGCAGGAGAATGATGACAGATATCCACAGATGGTTTGCATTCTGCGAGAATTCAAATCTATAATGACTTCTAATCATTCTCTTTCGATATCTTCCAATTCTTTGCTAAAAAGTAGTATCTCCAAGTTCGCAATAATAGAATTACCTTTTTACTAATTTCTTAACCGTACAGATCGGAATCCATGCAGTCAACCCAGCAGTTGGACAACTTTTGACCAAATCACAATTAGTCCAACCTCCCATCTTTTCCTTGATATTGTCTGTGTAAGTCTCGAGTCGCGCAGAACCACAAACATTTAAGACAGACATTTATCACTGGACTTTCAAGCACGCCAATAACATGAATTTCAAGTAAGCACAACGGAAACATTTACCTAGCTATTTTGACTAGGGATCGGGAAAGTTCATTTCAAACTGCCTGGGTTGATACTAGTGCAGAGAAAGCAAGAAAAGAGGTCTTGATTATTTAGCGAAACGTGATTAATTGTCGATTTGCAAAATTAAACCGATTCGGATCAAATGAATTGAGCACAGCTGGCTCCTTAATTAAACTTCAAAATATGTAGGTCTACTCGATTATTAAAATGCCTTTGCTTTGGTTGTGTTCAATATTGCGTTTTGTATTTAAAAGTAGACCGTCTTTCCTTTAAATTGATTCTTGCCGAAGGTCCGCCTCTGGAGAGACAAAATGCATATAATTAGGGAACAGCTACGATGATTCCCTATAACGTATTGAAGAAATTATGAAATTTGGAAATTGAAGAGCAAATGATGTGGTAGATTAATGCACTGCTGGAGTTTTCGTCATTTTTGGGGTCAATCTGACATAGGTTTTCATCTAAATCACACATAATGTAAATTTAAATTATCACCAAAGTTTGGGTCCCTATAACACAATCTAGCAATGAATAGTTCACTGAACTATGAGCGTAGTGCGGCATCCAAAAATCTGCTCCCTGACATTAAAAGGCAAAAATCTTGAGATAAAACCACCCTGATAGAGGTTTCAATCTCAAGAGTGCAAAAAAATCAATGAATCACGATGAGCAAAATGTATCTTGCCGAGTTGCTCCATATGCACCAGCGTCTGTCTTCGACAGAAGAAACAGACGGACTCACATCAGCCGAAGCGTGAAAAGCCTGGACGTCTCTCCATCATCTACTCTGCGAGGGGACAACAAACACTGAGGTATTTTTCTAAGTTTTTCAGGCATCGTTGGCCTCATTACACTCAACACACTAAAAAGATCCTGCTCCTTCTATCTTAGAGTCATCAGTAAAACACTGTATTATCCGCTCTCTTTAGGAGAGAGCAGTTGGAAGTAAGGTGGGGAATAGAGGACACACCAATTTGTAACAATAGTCGTCATGCAATCACGGATTCTTTTTCACCGATGCAAACAATCTAAGAACGATTTATATCTGGCATCATTAAACCAATAACGGGAATTGCTAGGGCATTTAAACTGGGGAGGGGGATGTCATCATGAAATGTACCGGCAGACGGTCAAGCAAATTGAGTATAATGGTAGTTTGACCTCCCCCGCACCCCTTCCTTTTCCATTCCTAGCAATACATGTAGTATCTTGATTTTACCGTCAAACCTGACTAATGGGGAGGGGGTGACACAACCCCAACCGTCTAGCGACGCCTATGGAATTTCATCTTGGACTGGCTGGGAAAAGCTGTCAGCTGGACAACCATTAAAAACAAGCCTAAAATACTGGCATGGAGAAAAATTGTTCCAGCGCACGCGTGACTGAAGGTACTGTGAAGAGGAACAGAGGGCGCACTGTTTTGAAATCGGTCACAAGATATACAAAACCGATTCTCTAGCTATAATTGTCCAACCTCGACTCTATGGGCTGCGTGCACGTTCTTTCACCAGCACCTGGTCGTATAGGGTGCGTTCGAGCGAGCTACTCGCGTTGACACGAGTAAACTCTTGAGCGCTCTAGCGGCTGGAGTAGGACCGTCACGAGGGTCAGTCAGAGTTTACTGTCGCTAGAGGGGGAGTATACTCTGTATGTATGAATAAGTCCGGTCAACTGGCTACCAATTTACATATTTACCTGTGGCGAAGGACAGTGTCCAGATCGGTACATCATTCTGACATTCAGGTCTGCCCATGGAGCCAACAGTGATCAGGCAGGAAACTTCTCTTCAATATTACATCTGGCCAGGGACACTTAGTTCCAGCAAGTAGACTGGCTGTGGAAATCCTAGTGTAGTGCCTCTTGGCGCCAGAGTCAATCACTCTACTTAACCCAGTGTTAAGTCAGTTTCTTTTTCCTTTAATTTTTTCGTAGTAATAATTTTTATGGTTTTTTGGTAGAATTAAATAGATGTTCAATTACGATCAACATAGATTAATTAATGGTCCTGTGTTTTATCAATTGGCAATTTATTTCTTCCATCTTCACAGTCGTCCTCCATGGGAAGGACAGACCCATGGCGTGACAGTATCCAACCTCATCTATTGGAAATTGCCTTGCCCCAACAGAAGGAGTAGACCACTCAACCATGTCGATTCTGTCTGCAAAGATGTGAGCCAGTACATGGATGACATCCTCACAGCGACCGTGGCGGAGGAGAGAGTCTCAATGAGTTTGGTTCATACAGCCATCGAGGCTGCAGACGCCAAGTGATGGTGATGAGATAAAAATCCTTGTTCTCATCACAGCCAATTACATCAGGCACAAGAAACTAAATCAATGAGATTGGTATACAACTGCTTGATGGATTGCATGGATTCTCCCTTGAGAACTTTGTGGGTGATTTTTGGAACGACTCTGACAACACTGTCGAAATTGACGTAGGCGGAACGCGTACACGAACGGGTTGACGCAACAGTTCTAGAAAACGAGAATGACGGTGGGGTCATTATAGTCTAACGATCCTCCAAGGTTGAACTGGACAAAGGTGGTCTGGTTAGGAGCAAAGATGATGATTCGGGTGACTGATGTCCTTGTTACGGATGTACATATCTGCCCACGCTTACCCCAACGCTCGCTGGTGGCCCTGCGTCTGGATCGATTACTCTTGTCGTCTGAGGATTCTCACGATGGAGATATAACAGACACCCATGACGCAAACTGGTAATAGGAACTCCAGAATGCACGGCAGACTGCCAACCAAGGCCTGGACCGGACCCATTGCTCCAGCGGGGCTATTTCCTTACAAGACCCTGTAGCCACTGTCGTCTAAAACGTCGGGTGCGCATACTGCATGACCGGCGCTATCAGTCAGACTAAGATCACGAAGATCTTGGTGTTGCGCCAAGTGACGCAGAGGGCGTACTTCAAAGGATGGACTACGGCTATGCAGGGCTCTAAAGACATCAATATCAGGTTGAGGGGTGAGATAGCGATGAAAACGAACAGGACGAACTGTGTCAACCAGAACTGACAGAGCCAGGGACTTGTGAGGGTGCGATGACGCCAGGCCTGAGTGATGCCGAAAAGAATCAGCAACACACTAGTCACCAGGACTGTCAAAGCTTGGGTGAAGATGAGAAAGCTGACACAATTAAGGCGAACCTGAAAAGACCAGAACACAGCACAGGCCAACAGGTTTCCCATTAAACCACACAGACCGATGGCGCAATACACGGCGGTCTTAAACATCTGGTTGGGAGTAAGTTCGTCTTCCTCGTCGTCCATCGAAGTGGAAAGTTCTGTTGTGTTCCAAATTTCTTCGACGTCGGTCACTGTGGTAGTCGGTTATACACTGTGTTTAACTTATGCAATCGCTGCAATTTCAGACCCAAAACTTTCGCTAGGTGTTTGTGGGGAACTTAGCTTTTTACCTTTTGCCTTTTTTGTTTCGAGCTAACTTGTATATATATGTTAAAATTGTCGACATGGTTTATGAAACCGACCGATGTGTTGCCATCACTAAAATTATGCCTTTAAAAGCCAGTCAGATTGAGGGTTAGGCTTATGGATGAAACCCTTTTTTCTCTGATAGCGCAATGTTCACAGGAAACAATGTCCCACAAAGATAATTGCATTTACTTGTAATTATAGTTTCAGCTTAATCCAGGTGTCATAAACGACTAAACGACTGACTGCTAATGGGCAGGAGGAAGGTTTGCTCCATCCAAGGGCTTTAGAAACCTTTTAAAAAGCTTTATGGCATCGAGATTGGAAGCTTGACAATAATCTGCCTAAAAGCTTGCAAAATTGACAGCATTAACCAAACAGAGGAAGATACATGATACTCCTGGTGGTTCCAGTTATTGTAAGAGAGGGCGCACTCAGGAAACGGTTAAAACAACTTTACTAAACAAATTTACAATACTTGGAATAAATACTGGCCTCTGAAAACAGATTGGAAACACTGTAGTTCATGACTTAGAGGTTTAACATCAGTAGTGTATCTAAGTCCCTGGTTCGGGGGGAACGCATTTTTTCCCTGAAAAAGTAGGATCCACATTTGCCATCAGCAAAAATTCCGCACCTCCTTCACGTCGTGGTACCGTTTCGGATAACATTTTGAATTTAAAAGAGAAATAAAAACTGAAAAAATGAAAAATTAAATCGGCAAATTTTGTCTACAGGGGAGCAAGTTGCTGCCCCACTCTATCTACTTCCCCCTCTTTCCCTCTCAAGAAACATAAGAAATAAAAAAAAAGTATGCAGGAAGATAATATTACTTGACTCGAGGGAAATGCTTTTCTCGCTAAAATTGCGTGTGATTGAAAGGTTGGCCTAACTTTTGTTAAAGTTGATCAGACTTGGGTATTAAAGATCATCACGGCTTCGAAATGATGCCCAAAATCACCCACAATCATTTCGGTCAGGTGTGCATTTTCGTTTAAAAAATTTGCTGTAAAGTATCAACGGCATTCAGGGTCCATGTTGAAAGGATTTCAGGAAAATAAATAGTGCGGCCATTTTTGTCCTGAAATAATAATTGGACATAATACACATTCTGCTTAGGGCAAAAAAACACATTCTGCTTAGGGCAAAAAACACATTCTGCTTAGGGCAAAAAAACACATTCTGCTTAGGGCAAAAAACACATTCTGCTTAAGGCAAAAAAACACATTCTGCTTAGGGCAAAAAACACATTCTGCTTAGGGCAAAAAAACACATTCTGCTTAGGGCAAAAAAAAAAAAAAAAGGCAGACACGAGGGAGCCAGTTCAAGGCGTTCAACATGTGAAGGTCATCACCTGGGTTCAATAATTGGTTTCACAGCACAGTAGGTACACCGTGACAAGGGCATTATCCTATGATCCCGTCAGACAAAATTGGCGTTGTTAAAATTTCAACCTGCTTCGGAGTTTGAAAAAGGTGCGTTAGGAAGTTTGTGATTCTCAGAAGGGATAACACTCTCAACCATAAAGTATAGATGGGGTTTGGCGGCTAAGAAGGTACAAGAAGTAATCGAGGGATGAACATTCACTCCTTAAAAGATCACTCCTAGGATCATGAAAAAAACCGTTACGATTAAGCGATCAATAGGCGGCGCTATTCTCTAGACTACTGGGCACGTAGGGCCAAGGTCACTCCTCTAGCACTACACACGGAGTCCAAACTCCATGAATTAACACGTAAGCGCAGCCAACAACTTGACCAAAACTGCCAGGAGGCGACGCTAGACCGTCCCGTTCGTAGATTTTGTTGTCGCTCCTGGTTGAAAAAGTTCGTTTATACGACAAAACGCCGTCGTCCTCAACTGTGCTATTTCTCCAAGGCTTGTTTTGAGTGGTCATTTCGTCACTACCAACGGGGAATAATGAAGATATACGCAGCAGACAAGGTTCAGCAAGCCAAAGTTGTGTATGACGGCGAGACGTACACAACAGTAGCAGTACCGTCAAAGATAGGGCAATATGCGTGTAAGGTAAGCTGATGTGTACATACACATGCCGTCACGTCACACGCACTGTCGAATCAGTAATGTAAATATGCATTGGGATACATTCCAGTTATTTATAAGCCTAACCAGTTGTTCCATTCAGTAGCTGTGCACAAATAGAATAACGGAATAACATATGTGATTGATATGGCCGTCCATTTTCAGGTAAATGTGCCGTTTTGGGGTGTGGGGGAGATCCGGCGGGTACACTTTTTTTTAAAGAGGAATGAAAGCAAATGAGCTGTGGCTTGTGTCACAGATTCTGTACATGTTAAAATTTCAAATGTAAGAGGGAAACAGGGGCATAGACTTCCCCTATGCCGAATGGAGATACACGTATTTTTTGGAGAGGGCATTGCAATTTATGGGGTTGCTCTAACTCTAAAATAATGCGACGCTATATATGCTTTTGGGGGACTGAGGACAGGGCAGAGGACCGTAGGCTAGTTGACACAGGTTAGTAATTACATGTAGTTCCGAAGGTTAGCTTCATCTACCGAGTATCGACAAAGGTGATTATTTGGAGACTATATCGTGCAACTAATGTCACGGTATATGTGACTTTCGCCGTGTAGGTTAACAATTATACGATCTGGAACTCATACAGTGTGCCTAACACGCTGGACGTGCCCTTTGTATTCAAATAAGACTGGCGCATCGATAGTGGGCCTGTTAGCAAATAGATCACGGTGCGTTTGCTTACAGCGAGTACAATAGAGCAAACAATAACACACGGTCCGACCGTTAACGAGGATAATTCATCCACAGGTTTGTGGTCAAAGTGCGGTGATAAAGTGATTGCCAGTGACAGTGCTTTTGAATTTCTTTTCTTCCAATCGTTTTGAGTAATAATTTAATGGTCACGATTTTAATTCAGTTTTTATGTGAGTACTTTGTGTTGGAAATTCAGCTGGTACTGTATAGGATATTACCCATTGATTTTAAGTGGAAAGAAATGTGTTTATCAAAATTGATGGCAGTGAATTTCGTGTTTTAACGTAGCATGACACACGTGTGGTTCAATGGATACTGTGACCATATGACCATGTTTAGATGCCATTGGGGACCTGCCACTCTAGCATTAGTCTGATCGCTGAAAGAGTTGGAGAATTGCAACAAGTGGTCAACATTCTACTTCGTCTGCTCATCTAACGCACACTTTTATGGCTGCCAATTAGTGAACTCCCGCCCTCGTGAATGGGAGCAAAACTACGTACCGATTAATTTATTTGTTATTAATTTTAATGATTTATTTCAGTCGTGGCCTAAATGGTCAAATTGAGTGGCATTTTACATCCATTAACAGTTAAATTACAGATGAAAACACTATAATAATCATAAGAGGGTGTAGCATGTTGAAAGTAAAACGAAGTAATTCATACTAAAAGATTTGAAATGATACTTTGCATTCTAAAACCTTGCATACTTAATTAAAAATAGTGGCACATTAACTTAATAAAAAGAACGATGGCACCAAGGCACCAACAAACACACAACGTCAGAACACACCGACAAACCACCAAATATTACTTCACACTTGCGTTCAATTTAAAACCGTTGCCTACAGCTTAGGCCTAGGCCTTCAACCCCATTGGAAAGACGTGGAGACGCGCAGATAGAAGACTTAGACTTACAGGAAGCTCTGGATACCTGTTTCGGACACGATCTTAGTTAGGCCGATAATTCAGTCGGCAAGGAGGCTATTTGAAGAACTGACTCAGTTGAAATCGCGATTACATGTATTGTCCTTTACGGAATGGAGCATTGTTTGTTTCTAACATCGTGCTTCTAGGTCATGTCACGGTGCAATAAGCCTTATCACATACACTGCATGGGTGATTTTGCACAATGGTAGAAAGGCAGTGTGGGAAGGAAAAAGATGTAAACATTGTCCCTTTTTCCTTCCCACAATGCCTTTATACCATTGTGCAAAATCACCCATGCAGTGTTTGCAATAAGGCTTATGCGAATGTGCTTAATGCTCAAGAGATTCTGGCGCGGATTCTGCCCCAGGATCCTGGTGTGGTTTTCCCCGGTGTATTTGCCGGAAGTTGTATCACGCCGATGTCACCAGTCGCAGGTGAGGTGTTTTGAACTTCACAAAAGCCAACGTGTTTTTCCAAGATCTGCAGTACATCATAGTTTTTTCTCAGTCAGTCAGTAGAATTTTTGTAACTCTCTGTTTCCATTTAAACATATCACGAGGTAACATTTCTATTTACATGTACAAGTCCGAGTCCACCTTCTACCACGTGACGTCTATTGGTTCTCAATCTGATTTCTGGATATCTTTGTTCTGCTAAGTATTTTGTAAGTCAGTGCTCGGCCAACGCCATGCGCTGCCTGATTTCCCAAGCGAAGCTGTATTTTCTTTTCAATGATTAACAAATTATTCACGTTGGTTCCCTGATCGTGTCGACATTTTATCCGGGCTTTACGTATACCAGTCCCCTCCCCCAGCGGAAGTTCAGATTATAAGGCCTTTTCCTGCTCCAACGGAATGACGTCTTTATATGTATGTATGACCTTCAACTCAAATGTCCAGCTCACTTGTTTTTAACCCCCCCAATTAAGAGGCCCGGTTTGGATAAATATTTTTTCAACGCTACTCTTCTTCCCGTGGGACTTGGAGGTCATTTCGTTTTCTTCTGAGGAGCATCTTATGCAGCGATGATAACGCCCTCTGTTGATTCTTACAGAAAAGGACAGGCAGTAGTTTGGTTTAGTTTTCACCGGAGAATTTTCAGACCCTAACCCTAAACATCTCAGATGAGGACGGTTGTAGTTTTAATGGCCTTTTTTCACGAAATCCATCCAAGCCGGCGATGGATCAGATCTACTTGCCATTTTGAAAATACAAGTTTCCACGCGTCTGAAAAGAGTTGCAAATCTCAAATTTTTCTCACCACTGAGAACCAGGAGTTCATTACCCTTTGTGAATATCTCGAACTTTACGAGCATGATCAGTGTTATACTCCTCCATGTCGATACACTAGAGCTTCGCTACCTGGATTTATTTGGTAAGTTACGCCACGGTTCGGTGCTCAAATAGCAGATAATGCGTAATTTTCGTGAAAGGTGCAGGTTGCGCAGCTATAGCGCAATAAAAATACATGTGGCGTCAAGGAGTTACGTTATCAGGCAAGTTTCATATCTTTTTGTCGAAGGTAAACAACAAAAAGACCTTAAAGAAGAATAACGTAACACCTCACCTTCCGTACCAAGCTATAGACAGACACTGAAGACTTTATGGTCTTACTGGATTACAACGGCGTGTATTTTGGTCGACAATGAGCAACATTTGCCTCTGGTTTTCTAGCAAATGATGTGCAAAATGAGTTCGACATGAAAGCTGGCAGAATAACAAGTACACGCGGCCTAAAAATAGTCCCAAGTTACAGCTCAGGCAACGAGCCATGCCGCACACATTCATCATGAATCACCAATGTGTACATCATACCCCCTACCGAAATAACTTATAAAATGTGTAGCAAGCAAGAAAACATTTTAACGTGTCTGGGTTGAGGTCTGAGCCACAAAACTTGTCAAAAGAGAAAACATTTTGTCTCAAAAATGTAGTAACGCTTTGAGAAGACTTAATTGTCAATTTTTCTTCTTCTGTAGCATCATATAATTATAGTTAGGGTCTGCCGTGAATCTCCCACGCACTACGCTCTGTCCAAAGAACTGAAAAGTCAGGTTTAACAGCAATTTGTTTTCAGTCTCATTGACCGAAACTTTGTTCTTGCACTAATTTTAAATAGTGCGCAGGTATACTAGATTTTGTAGTTTGTTTCGTGACCAACAAACCAGTCTAGTTGTGGACCAGCCTCGCATGGTTCGCCATTTGTAAAGCATCTTATTCGTAGAGGCAAGCACTGAATTTAGGCGTTTTGGCGCGCAGAATCAGTCTGAAGTTTCAGTCAACTGGCAGGACGCATCCGGCAGACGTCTAGCGCGACCGGCTACGCTGCGTGTTAGTACAGTCAGACCAGTTGCCTGATTCTTTAATACAGGAAGCCCTTTTTGGCGGGAACTTACTGACTCTATCCGCCGTTGTAATTGGCAAAACACGGGCCATCGCGGCAGAGGAAAAGGTGCCAGAAGTACACTGCGTCTATTTTTAGTGTACCTTCGCCCAAGATATAACTGATAAAGAATTCATGTTGGCTAAGATTCAACTCGCCACACAGTTTGGGGAGTTAGGCCTAGGGTAAATGGAGAGAAAGTAAGCAGGTCACTAAGATCAGGTCCCGACCGACTTATTTTTAGAAACCGACAATTTCCTTACGGTCTTACGAGGGTCCCTTGATAATACGCCATAAATATAGATAAACCGCATCTTTGAAAACTATTAATCTGATCTGACGTTTAAAACTAACATGAGCCCAAGAATGGTTTCTACACACTTTATATAGTTACACCAGCCCGGGTTTACGTGTCAACGTGACAACACTTAAACAACTCTTGTGATGTCACTCTATTCAGAATCTCAAGGCAGTTGTGACATTATATTGCATTGTGACATTATATAGTATTGCTTATATTGGTTGCGACGTAAGGTATATTTCTATGTCTTTGCGTTTTTCTGTTTAAAATTTACATTGTAACAGGTTTCACTGAAATTCACTCGGTATTACGGTATTCTTAGCCAAATCACTGTCACTTTAATTTCAGTTTTAACTCTTCCTCTGTTATTTAAGTGAACAAGTTTTAAATAACTACCAGTAACATGTATAACAATGACAATTCATGCGTGCCGTAAGTTTCCTAAGTCAGTAGATACAGTGCGCCACCTTGTGTTGAATCTTTTGAAACCCCAAACCAACCTTATCTTGTAGCCAGTGTAAACTTCACAACAATTTGGCATCTGACCGTGCGCACCTGCGGGCAGTTTCTCTAAAGTTGACTTAACAGAACATGATTTTCGCTGCCTCACCAGGTGAAACTGTCCTGGCGTTTTGCGCGCAAAGTGGAGGTTACAAAGAAAAAAAAAGGCGGGAAGTAGTAGTTAGTGGATGAATTGATTAGTGGTGACAACATCATCTTTATTAATTACCGCCAAGGCTTTAGTACACACCAGAACGGAAAGATGACTGCAGTCGCAGAGCTGATGATTCTAGACCAATAACCACACAAAAAGACAGACCTGGGATGAAGGTAACAGGTGTGCGATGTCATCGTAACTGGTTTTTGCCTAGACAATTTTGCTTAGGGTTTTCATTCGCTTATCTCAATCTGAATGAATATATACAGCGCTCTTATAGGTGCTTTAAAGTCCTGTCTCGGAAAATCTTGTCGTTCCGTGGTCATCTGTCCTCAGGTTTACGTTATAACGAAGCCTACAAAAACCTCCAAAATTGCGGAGTGTACAAGAGAAACTACAAGAAATTGATGAAGTTATATTACTGCTTAGAAAATGTTTGTTTGAGATAAAATTTCCATGTTTAGTTGCATTGTCTTGCAACCGGACGTCACCCCCTCTTCAGTAGAGAGCAGTACTTCTTTGATTTATTCACCTGCTACCCAGAGGCGAAGTAACAAATTCTATACCTCGGTAGACTCCTCCTTAACAGAAAGTACCTATGAAATATCCGGGCTCTAATTTCATTTTCTTATTACTGAGCTTCAACGGGGGATTAAACACTTTTGGCCAAATGGGTCACGACATTAAGAACTTGACAGTACAGAGCGATGTCATGTGCATGGAGCAGGAATTTATATTCCAAGCGTTCTCTAAAAACTGTTGATCGGTTTCTTTCCCTGCAGTGCAAAGATGGCAGCCATGTCCTGACCAAATCCTCTCATCCTGAGGTCACGCCAAATCATCGGCAGTCGCGATGCTGGAACTTCGGAATGGCTTCCTGTCTCATCTTTTCCATTGTCGCCTCGGTTGGTTTGTGTGTGCTTCTTTACTCCGCTGCCAGACCAGTTCCACTGCAGGTTTGTTCTTCCTAAATTTGCTACCACTCAGAGAGTTCTGTCTCTTCAATGGAGACAACAGGCTAAACAAAAGGTCAAGAGCGAAACTGAATGATCAAGTTTTAAATTTTGTCATTTCTTCAAACTTGTCAATAGTCACATGCATATTTAGCACTAAATTGAAAATAAGGTTCAGTTGTTTGTGACTAGCTTGCAGAAATCTTTTCATTAACACCTCGTAGCTATCTTGCCTGTGCACAGTGTTATGAAACACGAACTTCATGTTGGAAATTGTTGCGATAAATATGAGCAGTGTATTTGGACAGCAGGTAAAACAAATTGAATTTATACAGTTGGCTTTTTAAATCATGATTATTGTTTGGGCGATTCCATCGATGTCATTAACCTGTTTTTTAAAGCAAGGTCAAAAAATCAAAGTCCCAAAATCGAACCTTTCAAGTCAAACCAACTTTGGTTTTATCACATCCACGACAAAGGCAACGGTAACTAATGCGATAGAGCGTTAAATACATAGTTGATGTGAAACTGAACACCACTTAAAACATCTATGTTAAAAAGGGTATAAATGACTCTTGCGAGCAAAGAACACCTACATGTATGTAGATCGTAATCATCTCAGTGGCTTTGATCCAAAATCAGAATAGCTCAACAAACTTCAGCCGTTAGAGACTGATGTGATCGATTTTGAAATTATGCCAATATAAAAGATGTTCCCAAATCAGAAGTCGCACTAGATGACGTTTCACATTGAATCCTTTAATAGTTTGAACTTTAAATAAACCTTCATTTTACTTAAGTCTCTTGAGTGGACGTTAATCAGTTCTGGAAGTTCAGCCTTTCAAGGCAAGTTTGGAATTACGGAAGGCAAGGATTTAATGCATCTCAACAAGTAATACGTTGAAGAGCACAGTTTGCTGCTCCCTGGGAAGTTTAAAAACCGCCGTCATGTAGGTTATGCCTCCTATCTCGCACATCCTGGCCAATAAACAACTGACCTTTGACATTTGACAACAGGTGTAGAAGCAGGCAACTGACCAATCAGGAAATGATCTTTAGCAGGTGTATATGCCCTTATCCATGCATGTCCAAGTAAAACAAATTTCGAGTATGTTATTAGGCACGTCTAAAATGGGAAATCTTCCCATTTGCCATCAGAAATACATTTCAGATTTGAAAGGGCATTTGTGAATAAAGGGTTCAACCATTTCTATGTATGCCTTTGAAAGTGAGTGGTAATAATCTGCTCAAATGTTTGGATGATACAAGAACACCCTGCGTTTGGTAGTATCCCCGTTGTAAAAAAAGTGGCATGGTGCCAAGCTGGCACTGATTTCATTAACGGCACGGATTTTGAAGATTTACCCCTGTCAGCTAATTTCCTGTTCCTTCTTACTTCAGGAAGTCCCTTGCTCTCCACTTCTAATGACTGTTCACCCTTCTCCCCCGTCCCATAGTAGGATCTGGGTTCATGTAACTAAGTGTTAGGAATCTTCTGTGCCCCTTAAGCCGACTTGTAACCTTATCGTTCTCCGCATAAGATTAGTCCCACCCTAGGGAGGAAAGCGCCCTCTGAAGACTACCCAACAACCTATAAATGCCAGCGTTGTCCTTGACGAAAATAAGCGCCGTGCTTGGTTAAAAATAAAGTGTTTGTAGGTTGAGAGGTTTACGATAGCTTTGCCGCCCAAATCCCGTTTGTGAGCCTTCCCCAAGAAACATAGAGGATCGAGAAGGCACAAATATGCGCTCTAGTAAGCGGAAATGGCTTTTAATTATTGAGCATGCGCCTTGACCATTAGTATTCGATAACAAACAAACATGACTGGTGATCGAAATACTTAAACTATGATCTGTATTATTTTAATAGGGTTTCCTTTTGAAACTTATCAAAATATTCCATTGACGGCTGAAGGGTCAGGTAGGCCTAATTTATTTTCAATTACCGGTTACCCGAGAATATCAAACGACAATGAAAGGTTAAGAATTACATGTACTGTATATACATGTAGGTATAAAGCCAACATGCAGGGTGTATCAGTTTTACGAAACACCGCAGTACACTAATAGTGCTGCTCACACTGGTTGCAGTAGCATCCAAGTTTTTTTCCCCAGTCTGATGTCAACATACATTACTACATTCATGTAGCGCTGAATGTTACATTTACATCATCAAAACACTAGTCATACAGTATTACTAGGTTCCGTACTAAGGATATAGGGTCATGGAAACATAAAACGGACTGGCAAAGTGGTGACTATTCCTATCCTGCGCAGTGTAAAGCGTTGAGTGATTCATTTCTTTCAATTCTCTCTCGTCTGTTATCTACACCACGGAGAGAGAAAATGGCGAACTGTTTCCGGAGTTGGAGGGACCTCGGCAGTTGTAGCTGGGCCAAGGAGCCTTGGTGTTGTGACGCAGCTGCTGTATACTGCCGCCATCTTGGCGTTTTAGGCTGATATCTTATCTCTTGTTACTGGTTGAAACGCAAAATCCTCAACACTTCATAATGGAAGTGTTCATTCAGTGTGTGTGGTTGGACATTCGACGACTTTGTAAATCGTGTGTTAGAGGGACTTACATTTAGGCTCCCTATATTTTTTCTTTTATGATCAATCTGAGACCATCTCTAAGATTCATTCATACAGTGTGCTGTGTGTGGTGTAGCTGCATATTCAGTCTCAAACGGTTATGTCAGCTTAGGAACCTGTTGTTTGTTTTGTATCCATACATCACATTTAGAATATAAAGAAACAATGTTATTACAGAATGAATAAGAGATGATGAATGGCAGATACTAGACAGAAAGCAATCGCTTGTTCATGGTCTAGTTCCTTATTTGTCACAATAATATCCATATGCTGCTATAGTTACAAGATAGAGGAGAGAGAGTAAAGAAAGTAAAATAACTGAAAGGACAGCTGAACGTCAGAATTAAGCAAAGATTTTCATTGTCATAACATCTTAGGAATAACCGCGAATCTTATTATGACTGCTTAAGTATTCAAAGGTATGAATGCACAGAAGAAATGTGATATAGCTAGGGTAAATAAAATATAATATTACACTGGAAAGGAGGATATTCTTCAAGCACCTCTTCAAACCATGTACATGTATACTTCTAAAGTATGGTATTGAGGTGATTTGAAGAGAAGAACCACTGTTGTTGATTATCTTAAAATGTTTCTCAAAAACGGATTAGATAAAAAGAACCTTACGAAAGAGATCCGTTTGTCTACCGCCCCAGAGTATACCATAAACAGCTCTATTAGCGTAGATTACCTGTGATAAAGATATGATTCAAGCTTCGCTTTATTTCACAGGACAGTTTCTCGGTTGACGAGTGCGAGGTACCCATTCTTCCAGATCAACAGGAGCCCTTGGGTTACAAGGAACACATGACAACTGATAAAAAGAATATGATAGAGACCTTTGATATCCCAGAGATGAACGCCAACCATCCAGCTACAATTATGCACGATTTCTACAACGTAAGGAGTAATCGAAAAAAAAGAACGTTGCCAACACTACAGTGACCCCCCCCCAATAAGATTGAATGACTTTCAAGAACACTCGCTTAAAGGGCTAAAATAGCTGATTAACCATCGCTAACCAGGATTGTGGCAAATTGTTCAAACTATCACCACATCTGACACTTACTGAGTCTCGTGGTAGTAGTTTGAAAACAGTAAGCGGGAAAATAGCATAGCTCACGATGTATTATAGTGAGAGTTACGGGTGGCGACATCCCCAGGGAAAGGATCAAATTGACAAGGGGTGATCGTAACTTGGCAGGGTGGGTTTAACCACACACCAAACCGTCTCATTCTGCGGTATTATACCTCCTTATGCGAGGCTGTGTTATGTCTACTCAGACGGCAGCTTTCTGTAGCACAACCTGGAGGAATAATTGAAAGCATGTTCGGCAAAGGAACTACGACTGAGAGGCAGTTTCCCTTTTGGCAGTATGCGAATGACAATGCTATTATATACAAGGCACTTGGGAACCACTCCACTTATGTATGTTTCTTACCGGAGCTTTCCAGAAAACCTCTTTATGATCTGCAATCAATTTCCACTGGTTAATAATAAATTCAATTTGGTAAGGTTATCATATAAGCTGGTATTTTCTTGTAACTCTTTGTTAACAGGAAATAACGATTTATTTGGATCGGTTGGAGGATACTTGTTTCATCATGAAACTCAACACAACAGAAGTTGTCCAGCCAAAGCACCTGCTGGAAGCTTTCATCAGATATAAGGTATTTCCAGATAAATCTGCACAGACATTTTGGCAAAATGAGGTAATATGACAAATAATTATCATAATTTTCTATTGACGGAGTTCGCAAAACGTCAAAGGCAGACACACAGCTTCAAACAGGTTCTGGCGAAGGTTGAATGTCATTCCATCACAAGAAAAATCAATGAAGGGCTACTGAAGCAGGCATCAACGCTAGGAAAGCCCCCGACGTTGAACTGAGTTTCTTTTTTGTGTGTAAATTACTTTGAGTTTAACATCCAAAATTTCTCCCTGTGTGTTACAGGCTGTTTCGTTATTGCTTAGCTTGTTGTAAACTTGGTGAATGACTTTTTGTCAGTTTCAATATTAGTGCCTAGTGCCGCAATATTTTTTTTTACCAAAAGATGCTTGCGTCGTCAATTTTCATTCACCATTCTTCTGCCAAATGTTTTAGAGAGGAGACTTTGACCTGGATATAGACACCATTCGTGAAACCATGCACGTACAGATGCCACCATTATCTGACCTTGCTCCCCTTGGTCTTGGAGCTGAGATTTTGTGTGAAGATCTGCCTACCTATTGGCTAGTCAATCCCAGAACGCCGGGTAAGAGTTTGCCAAGCAGGTTTTTCCATGTCACTAGGTGATGCATACAGTGTCGTTAAATTAATCTTCCATTCCTTTCCGCAAACGATACATTTACCTCATAAAGAGGATCCTCATGATGCTGGGTTACGAGTTACTTCACATTTCTACCGCAATCAGAAACTCCAAACGATAGAAAACAAGACTTTTGGCTTAACAGCTCCCGGAAAGTGTTACCAAACCAATGACGTTACCCTTCACTAATGCGTAACCTCTAACAATCTGTTTCGCATCCCAGTCACTATAAATAATATCAACGAGGGCAGCTCATGACGCCTATCGTACTAAATGCTTTTCTCCAAAACCAGAAACCACATAAATAGCAAATCTTCTCGCAGCTTACATGAACACCTGTCGTATAGATTTCTAATGACAATTCAAACTTATTTGGAATGACTAACCTTGTTGAATACTGTTCTGTTTCCAAATACAGCACTCCGGAAGCGAAGTATTCACTCAGATGAACATCACGTGACATACTTCAACGGACAATACATGGTTGACCTGACTGTTATCAACGCAGTTTGAAGCGAACCTGGGACCCCTCCAGAAAATGATTTTGGATGTTATAGAAATCGGAAGGTCATAAACAATATACTGCCATGTCAAAAGCATTCCTAAAAAGGTTATGTTTCTGAATTGTTTCTAGAGTTTCTTATGTACAAGTTGATCAAGTGGTACCCCTGTACGAGAATAACATATAAGCCTAAACGTTGCTCGAGTCGATCTGTTTAAACTACGTTGGACCCTTTCTGGGGCTAGACATGAATTGAATTGAGAAAACCCCGACACTCAAACGAAAAAGTCGTGCCTCACGCCTTTATTTTAGGCTAAGATTCCTTGAATTTTACGTCATTTTGACGAACATTAAACTGTTATGTACATAATATTAACAGAAAGGGATAGGAGTGGGAAGCCCTCCCACCTTACAAAGTTTATGAATGGTGGTTAATTTGTAAAACACCTTCGTCTTTTGGCAAACTTATAGGCATGCGTTGTAAATATTAAATGCACTTTAAACAACTCCGAAATTATGATGCATTGTCCCCAGCTACTCCCAGCTACACGAAATGAGCTGTAATTATACATGTAGTCTATGATAGCCCATTTACAGCCGACTAGTTGAATAAAGCTTGTCCTGGGCAGACTACTACAGTCCATCCTCCATTGAGTATGAAATCTGTCTTTAACCGACAACAGCATGTCCATTATCAACTATGGCCCGTCTATAGCCGACAATAGCCCGTCCATTATTAACCCAACCAATCTATAGCCGTATCTGATAGCTCAATCAGTCAACGCACAAGTCACGTGAGCAAAACGTTTTCACGTGACGCGTCCATGATAAGTTACTGAAAGTTACAAAGCTTCTTATTTTTTCTGTGTTCTTGAATCGTAATAAACAATCTACACGCATCACCATGCACTGTCATCGACACTGGTGAACAATAATTGTATATATATAGGATTGAATGCTTTAATAATACTTGTATACATGTATTTCATAAAGCTCTATACCAAAATTGTAAATCCATTGAAAAAATTCTTGAAACGGTTTTTGCACACGTCCCTGTATGTCTGCTTCATTGGCATTGTGCGCATGTTCACGCTGATGGCTCCCCGTCTTTAACGTCACCTGAAAGAGATTTTGCCTAAGTTAGTTTCTTTGATCAAAAATCTATCGAGCATGGCCAGCACTTTGATAGGTTTTCTCGATCTTGATGAAGGTGATAAAAAACACACTCAACGTATGTATTCTTTGCTGTGCAATAAAACGTTCATCATGCATGGTGCTTTGAGGTGTAATTATGATGAAATAATAATGTGAATTGCTTTCTGATTTCCATACGCGATGCAATATTTTAGGAGGAAGGTTAAATTTGATGATTTGTAAGGTAGAATCGGTGTATTTGTAATTATCAAAAGATGGCGCTTTATATCCTTAACCCTTAAAACCAATGTCCTCAGATATAGGTTCGGGATTGTGGACTAAAGTAAAATCATGCTGAACCAATATGAAAATAAAATGTTTAATTTTGAAAAAATGCTTGTTTACGCGCTTTACCCTTACGCTTTGTGTTTAAATAATGTCATTTGATCGCTGTTGATTCATAATAAAAAAAAAGAAATATATTTCAGATATGATATAGTGTCATTTGTAGTAGTGATGGCCCTGTAACTTAATTGCGAATGGACATAATGATTAAGCAATTAAGTGAAATTTCTGTAGGAACATGGTGCCTAAAATCCTGGAATCCTTATGAAGTACACGTATAACGCAACTGAGAGTAGAGAAACCTCATCAACCAACAGTCATACGAGATGAATGCTAAAGCGGACAAAAACTGTTCTAGGATATATAACCCTTGAATGTCTGCCACATATTTTTACGATGCTTGTAAATGTCTCGTATTAACCCTAACCCCCAAGGGTGTATGTAAAATCGTCTTGAAATTTGAGGATTTGAGACTGCTAGGGTTAATGCTGGCTCTGAAGCACCTGTTACAGCGAACAAGAATGATTTGCCATTTAATCAACTTGGTAATTTCATGTTCGGACAAAAGCTGTTTACGCAGCCGTTACACTGTGTTTCTGGTAGTGTTTTCCTTCTGGAGTTTGCACTCACAGTTATTGTTACTGGTCAAATACACACGTGCAAAAAATTTCATTGGATGATTGAAGTATGACGCCATCCCAAGCGGCTGCAGATGTACATTGTACAGTTGCAAAAGCAATTGTTTCTTTTGAAAGAGGTTACTTTATGTTTGACATCGACTTGTGCTGCACGCCCTAGAAGACACAGGTTTGCAAGAAGGTATGTTTAACGTTTAAAAGGTTTCATAAAACGAGAGAGCACTTTTGTTTCCGGAGGTGAATGATTAATGAAAAGTTTGCAATCACTGCTCACAAATGGACATGGGTACTGAAGTGGTCCGTGGTCGGTAGCGACGCCGTTATAGGTCTGGGCATACACTTACAAGACTCCTGATTTGCCTGTTTTACCATCTTTGACATCTCTTTGTCTTCATTATAACGTTGACCATCGACTTTTCTTCTTATTCAGAGTCAATCGGTATGATGCTGTCTGTGTTTCTTGCTGTTGTGACCCTGTTGGTATCAAGCGTATCACCAAGACCTCGTTCTGATATCAACGATGCATCATTGGAGTTGGCTGCCTTGAGACAAGATGCTGACTTGGGCTCTTCCGTCCATCGTTACAAACGGTTCATTAGCACGTCCTCTAAAGCGAAGGGCAGACCCCTCCACCCTCTTGAATGGAAGAACCATATGCCCTCAGTCAATAGCCCCGACTCGGCTGCCTCTATGGTATCAAACCTCCTACGGGGGTTGGCTCAAGAAGTCCTGCAAGCTAAGCCGTCTCGTGAGGTTCCTGACAAACGGTTCATCGGGTTGGTATCAAGGCAGATGGGCGACCTCAAACAGCCCGACCACAAAGGAGATTTGTCGATAGCAGTGGGTTCCCTTGGCAAGGACAAAGCGCCCCCAGCGAGTGATCTGATTTCCGGGCTGATGGCCAGTAGAGACAAGACAGTCCCGTCAGCAGAGGGCGCCATTGCTCTTGAACTCGAAGAACCTTCCTCTAGTATGGGTGATCCTATTGTAGGTCACGATGCACCAAATCTGTCCTCACTGGAGATTCGTTTGAGAGAACTTCTGAGAAAGAAATTAACACAAGGAGAGAAATTTCCCGGAGTTCCTCGCGGAAAATAGACATTTCATTATTATGTCAACTTACATCACGGTGTAAAACAACGAACAAAATGCATAAAAATACAAATTTACAAGTTTTACAAATACATATAAGTTCTAGTCAGCGCGCCCGCTGTTGCTCCAAGACATTAATTTACCCGATTAGCTAGTGGAATTATACCAGTGCCATGAAAGTTGTATCCAACATTTATAGATTAGGGCAAGATGGTAATATTTTCTGAAAGAAATAAAAATTGACTTTCATTTCTCTTCTTCCGCAAACTATTTCGAAAAGTATGGGGAGTTTTAATTACATGTACTTACATTTATATTCAGATGTAAAATCCTGCCGCTCTCAGAATGGCAAAAATAGCCAAATACAATGTCAAATTTTTTGGAAAAATTAAGTTGAAGAAACTGCTTTACATGACTAATAGGTTTTTAAAGCCTTCGTTCCTTCCCGTTTGCTAGTTACAGTACTGATCAAGGCCGACGTCAAGATTCAACTACTGTCCGGGATAACAGTTGTCACTGTCTCTTTACTACGAAGACCATTTTGATGATTAATTCACAACCTGCCTGCAAACCCGCTCCTTCAAGCGCACGGGGTGTGTTGACATGGCTAACACTCTCTTCGATACCGTTAATGTCGCCGCTAATGGATAACAATTTATGTAATAACCAGAACGTGAGGTTAAGCGAGTGACTTCCAGTAAGAACTGACCATTCGTGCCAACTGACGTCTCTCGCAGCCAACTGCACCGACGAGGCGCGACGCAGAAAGATTGTTAGACTTGATTAATTGATTGCAAACACGTCAACTGGGAAGCCTCAATCGAGATTGGACGTGCTCTCCACGCGTCCCTTTTCCTTCATTTGGCTGGTGTTTTCCCTGTAGACAAACTGCCCCGTAACGGCGTTACCATGTGCTTCACCAAAGTGCAGGTGCACCCACATCACTACACCTAGAAATGAGTTTGATTCGATCGGAGTATGTGCACACCCGAGCAAAACTCGTGATTGTGTTTTGGCTGTGCGCACTAACTCTAAGAAGTTGAGAACATCAATTAGCAGAAGTTAATGGAAAGGTAAATATAACAGAGGTAACATTAAGTCCTCAGGCAGGTTGCGGGAAAATGAGTGTTTAGCATTGTTAAAAAATGCACAAACCTCAGAAAAACGCTCGTTAAACAGATTCGTAACTTCTTTCTTCACTTGTTTACGAGTGCCGTTTTCCCCCAATGTAACCGTTGCGATGAGGGAAATATTGCTGGTAACATTCCATGATCTGTGCAATAATTCCGAATTTTGTTTTATGAAAATTGTCCCAATGCCTAATACCACACCAAGGAAGGCAGCCACATGTCATGATGTATGACCCCTACTCAAAAACAATTTTATCCACTTTCAATTGTAAACAAGCACACTAATGTAGTTACCCGAGCCGAAGTGTCTGCTTAAACAGTAACGAGTCTCACCTAACCTACCTCATGAATAAAGAGAAACATATCATATGGCCTTAATTTGGTGTTTTAATTTGGTTGGTTCAGGCATACGGAAAAAAGATTTGCTCACTGGAAAATATAATTTTCGTCCATTTTGGCTGTAGCGTCTATCTTCGTTTTGTGTTTATATAGTCTCCATTCCGAAACTTTGCATATCCACGTTGCTGTTCGACCAGCCATATACTATTCACGCTGCAGCACATTCAACCTATAATTTCCCTGGAGACTTGTAACAAGACCACACTATAATTTATGTCGACGAATCGGCATGCATGCAGCAATTACAGTGACAAATAAGGGATGTCGACTGAATCTGCGTCAGTCTGGAAATCCGACGTATTGTAGTCAAAGCTTTCTGACATAAAGTGGCTATGAGAACTCGGATGATGGAATTAAGGCTCCAATGTAACTTCACAGTGTTCAAGTTATTGTTAGCCATTGGGTAAACTCAGAAACAGGGTATGTATAAATGCATTAGTGACAAATTAATCTTTCAAAATATCGAGTAATGTAACCGATGGCCGTCACTGCAACACAGAATACAAGTCAGCAACGTCAGTTTTTGGGGAACAGCGATAAACAGATGTTCGTTCGTCAACTGGACTACCTGATTTTAGCCTCACAGTAACACGATTTCCTGTATTCCAATTTACCGATTACGCACGTAAAATTTCTGATCCAAAGTGGGACTTAGATTTAAAATGGACTGGCGTTTCTAAGGAGATGTCTGGGTTGAAAGAAGGTAAGCAAAATGTGATTACTGTTAGTTGAAAATCTCCAAGTTACAGTCCTGGCTATGATTTACATGTATATTTATTTTGAAATGGTTTCAATGTTTTCAACAGCAAGACGTTACAGTGTTTTGTTTCCAAATTGATTTCAGATCCTAGATTTTGTCTTTACTTCTTGCTGAGTCTCGAAATGTAGACAATCA